GTACAATTGGGGGATGCATTTGAAATGTTGAAATCTGTCAGTGATTCAGTAGCAAACGCCTTCCCCATTCTTCATTTTTCTTCCAGAGAATCTTACTCTTCAGCATTGGAGAAATGGAGTTGCTCATGACTGTCAAGAATGGAAGCTTACAGAATTTTAAATTTTAAAACATTTGCCTTTTGACAGAAATAAGAATTTGCTTACTTGTATATATTGCTGTATCTATTCTAGGGTGTTAGGAGAATACTGTCATCGTAGCTTCATCAATTCATCTTATAATTTATTTATGTGTGTATATTTCTGAACTGAAGTCATACTTCACTATTTAAAGCAAGCCAATGCTTTTGATACCAATGTTTAGCTACTAACAGTATCTCTTTCTATTAAATGAATGTTTTTAATTTTTAAAAAAAAAATATTTGTAAGGTTAATAGAATTTTTTATCTCCAGGACTTTTAATATTTAGCATTTTTAAACCTATGAAAAATAATTTAGTTACTTTTAAATAAAAACAGCACAGATTGAACTGTTTTTAGAATGATTATTTCAAGCTCTTCATATAATTTTCCAGTGTGATTTTCACTTCAGTTGTATTCAAGGGATTTTCATCTGGCCTTTTGGAATTTTGGGAATCTGATGAATTAATTTTGATAACTATTTTTGATAACTGTAAAAATATTCATGAACCTTAGCTGTATACATAGACTTCAGTGTTAGCAGAACCTTTCCCTCCATACCCCTTCTTATTTGTTTTGAAATGGTAACAATTATGTGGTTGGCTAACTTTGGAGTATTAGAGATCTGTCAGAATAGTACTAAGAATGAATCTAGAAGTTAATTAGCATATGACTTCAGTACTGCACCTGTTATTTTCTGTCCTTGCTTCATTAGAATTCGTTTACTTTAGAATACAGAATTGTTTTAGTGCCATAATAAGACATTAGATTTGCTGCTTTGTATAAAAAGAGAAATACATAGTTAAAAATGTGAATATTCTACCATGTACTATCCAAATTATGGTGTCTTATAGCCACACCTTTCCATTAAAAATACATTTGTCTAGTACTTTGGTATTCACCTTTAAATTAGACTCGTTTTATGGATTATAGCAGGATTCCAATTCTTTCTTAATTTTCTTCTTATTTTGGTGAGCCAGATGTCTTTGGGAGTTCACAAGCAGTTCATGGAGGTTCTATTTGCTTTTGAAGTCCTCTTGAGCTACTTAGTGTCACTTTATCATGTGGTTCATGTGGTAAATTCATTATAGCAGTCTTGAAATAAAATATAAGGAATTATATGTCTTTCTTCAACTAAGTTCTAGACAACGTGAGAGCAAGTGCATCCTCTTATTTTGAAGTACATTCATCATTTCTTGCTCTTCATGGTCATTTTTTTACTATTATGGTAATACATGTTTCCATTATATTGAAATCTTTTTGTGACAAAATATTGTATTTGTCTCAATTTATGTTTATGCCTAACATACACAATCTCTTTCTTTCTCTCTCTCTCTCCCTCTCTCTCTCTCTCTCTGTGTAGTGTGTATAGTATATGTGTATTTGATGCAGTCTAATAAATTCATTAAACTTTCAGAACAAGCATAGAATATTCTGTTGTACAAATGTGTTTATAATTGGTCGAGATAGAAAAAATATTTTTTGAAGATTGAGTCCTTGTAAATAAGACATACTACATATTTATATTGCAAATATTCAGTATTGGGGGCATTGTGTGTGTGTGTGTGTGTGTGTGTGTGTGTGTGTGTGTGTGTGTAATATAAAACATTTTGATTTTTAGGTCAAGGTGTAATCATGAGGAAACGGGTTTTTTATATGAATGAATTGGTTTACAGTGGCAGTACTTTACCATCATTTTTGGCATGATTTTGCATACTGACTATTACTATATGATCGGGCTCTGTCTTGTATTATTCAGATAACTCCATGCATGATGCAAGAGTAAAGTTTGCATTATTGGTGAAGCAGTAGCTGCTGACATAATCACCTGTTCAAAGAAGAAAATGATAAAACTAGGTTGATAAAACTAGGCTGTAACATAATATACAGACACAGATCTAACACACATTCATATATATGTACCCAATATGGCCTTTTCATACTAAGAGTGATAGCCCAAGCTTTGTGATTATTTATTTAAATTTATTATATCCATCCCATGTACTTTGAACCTTAATTGGAAAAAATATGCCTTTAATGTTCAACATGCATTTTTCCCATGCTATATTAAAATAGATACAAAAGATTATGTTCAGAAATCTGCTAATGTGTATATAATATAGTAATTTAAATTTACATTGAAAATGAGCATATTTCTCCATGAGCAATAGAATTTCCTATTCTTGTGTTTCTCCACCACCATCTTGCATGCATAACCCAATTTTGCCCCCAAATTGCCTTCTAGTGGCAGAATGGAATATGCCAATGAAATATTACTGTTGGAACCAGACCAAAATTTTAGTTTAAAAATCTGTTTTTGAAAACCTGAAAGTACCCGTACAAGACGGTTTTGTTTAATACTGTATTGAAACAGACAACTTCATGGAATCTTCATTTTCAAGTTTGGAATTTGAAGTAATTTGTATAATGGCAAGAAAATACATTGACAATAGTGGTGGGTTCCTCCCGGTTCGGTCCGGTTGAGCCGGTAGCGGTGATGATATGACATCACCGAACCGGTTCTCCCCCCCCCCCCCCCCCCCCCCCCCCCACCCCTCCCCGCGTTATTCTTACCTTTTATTTGCTGCCTCCTGAGTCCCAGCTGATGACTAGAGGGAAAAAAACTGTTTTAACTCTTGCCGCGGGGCTTCAAAAGGCCGTCCTACAGCTGATCAGTGTTAAAAGCAAACAAATGAGTTGGGTCGTAAGTGCGAGGACTGGTCGTAAGTGCAAGGACTGGTTGTAAGTGCGAGGACCTTCCAGAAATGACTCTGACCAGCTAGCCACGCCCACCTAGTCACATGACCTCCAAGACACACCCACAAAATAAGCCACGCCCACAGAACCGGTAGTAAAAAAAATTTAGAACCCAGCCCTGATTGAGGACCCACTTGTGGGGGCAATAAGCTGACTTTGTATAAATATACAAAAGGATGAAGACTATTGCTGAGCACATTGTAAGCCGCCCTGAGTCTCCGGAGAAGGGCGGCATATAAATCAAATTTTTTTTAAAAAAAAAAATCTGAAATATAATTTAGTCAGGTTTCTTAAAGCTTCATTTTTCAAGTTCACATGTGCATTTTTCTTCCATCTCCTTTTTTATCTTATGAAAAATGACAGTCTTTGCCTAAAAGTTAATATTTATTTATCACTTATTATTTTCTCAAGATTTGTTTGTGCATCTGATAAAGTAAGTGAATTATTTTGTTTCACAGGTTTGTAGGATTTGATTTTGCCTTTGGCAATTTTCACTGCAATTTTAACGCAGTCTTTACTTATAAATAAATACTATATGTTGTCCTAAAATGGCACTCTCTGTGCTCCCCTAGTGGCTAACTGTTTTTAGTTTTTGCCTGTAAAACATCTATGGAAATCTGAAAACATCCCCTGTTGTACAAGTTTTGTTGATTATTTGAACTTGACAGTATATGTTACTTACTGACACAATTGGGCCTATCACTTTACTAAAACTTCATTTTAGGAGCATGTCATTCAAGCAGAGTAACAATTCAAGTAGGCATTCAAATCAGATATTACTCCTGTCTTCTGATTTATAATTCCCAGGTTGAGTGACAATTTACCCCATTGCTTTCAGAAATGGACAGCTGTTCTTTCTACCCAGGATAATGATGGCTATGAATAGATGCGAGGAAAAAATTACAACAGAAATAAACACAAGGCTTCTTGTACCAGGGATTTTCCCACACTATCAATTTTTACAGAAAAAAATTAAGTTCATGAAGGTTTAATACATTAATAAAGGTACAAAAGACAAGTGGTTTATTGAGTGTTCTTGTTTACTTTGTTTTTCATAATGTTCTAGAAAAATTACCTGGATTGTAATTAAAACCCTAAATGTGCCATAACTGGAAAGATGAAGAATAGATGGTATTTTACAAAGACAACAAACTTATTGGCTACAATATCATTGTTTCATACAATTCCAACGAAAATCAGTTTGCTTGCAGAAAAGAGTCTGTCCATAACTGGAAAGTGATGGAACAAAGTTAAATAAAGATCTAGGGTATAATGAATGATAGTACTTGAAATAGGTTCAAAATTGTTTTTATGATTTAGGTCTTTGTTGCATCATTTAAATGTCAGAACTATTCCATTTTATTTTCTTGAATCTTTTTTTTTACTCCTAGAAATACACTGAACTCTCCTACTATCAGCACAACATGTAAATATTGTATTGTTGTTAAATGGTAATGTTTGTATTACCATTGCACAGTGACAATATTGGGGAGATTTCAATGTTAGAAAAGGAGTTCTTTCTTAAAAATAAATGCTGGGATGTGTCATCACATTCAAGTTAGCATAGTAATACAATTGCACAATGATAGCTTACATACATCATGGGAACTTCTCAGAAGATGTATCTGCATCAGTACAAGAAATGTGATTGGCACTGGGATAGTTACAGTGGAAGGAAAGTTGTATAAAAATTTCAGTAAAACAAAGTTTAAATAAAACTCAGTAGAAAATGCCAGTGAAACAAAATATCAATGCAAGGCTACTTGTTTAGCCAATATGTTTTATTTATTGCCAAAATAATTAATTGCAATAGTGAAACACATAATTCTTATTCCAGTATTCTTTTTAATAGTAAACAGTATTTAAAATTTTGTAGCTATATGTGGGGATTTTTATGCCCTGGTTTTCTTTTAATATACTCATGAATGCAAACTTAGCAATTAGGGTATAGTGTACTGTAGACTGATAAATAAAATGTCATGATTACTTCAGTCATAAAGATAGAGTCAGTAGGACTTTTTTCTCCTAATCGCTGTCTTTTTTGTTTGTTGTTTATTTCTGATGCAGACTCAAGAATGAATACTCCGTCAGAAACCAATAAACCTGTAAAAATGGAAAGCGGGGATGGGGAAACAGGTACGGATTATATGCATTTGAATCAGATTTCTTAATAACACCACAGTAATTACATGAACAGATTTACTTCCTACTTTTCAGTGTTCAGTATGTCAATATGTTGAGCAAGGCATCTATGCACTAACCGTATGAAAATGTGTATTAATAATAGATATACATTTTGTCCTGAAGTATAAAGAGCTGTCCTAATTAATTCCTCTATTCAGATTTGTGTTTATCCAATATGTACCTTCTGTTTAACCCCTTCCCCACATAGTAGAGAACCTGTTACATATAAAATGTAAAGTTGGCAATCTGTTGCTTTGTGTGCTTGTTGGCATATTTGTGTTTGTTGTTATGAATGAAAGAATTGCCTATGCAGTAACAGAAAAGTGGGAAAAAAATATTGACAACCTAGATTTCAGTTCTGTAGTTATTTTTGAGTTTAGCCCATTACATCAATATACAGTGATAACAGGGCATTCCAAAAGTTCTGTTTTTGTAAGTTGTTCTTTAACATGTAAAACAACTATTTTAACTGACACTGTAAAGGTAGGTTATGATATTTGCACTGTGAGTTGCTAAAGAAACAGTCTCAATAACTTTTAAGAATTCGTTTTAAATTCAAAACTTTTACCTATATCTGTAATCTTCAGCTGTTTTGAGTTGCTGTCTGTTTTTCTTTACCTTTTCAATTTTTTTACATTGTAATTGTACATAGTATTTTGCTTTTGTCAGAGTACAACCATTTTTATTCATCACTAATTCTACTACAAAGAGACATTTTTCATTTGATTTAAAAAAATATTTTTAAACAATTTCCAGCCTTCAACTAACTATTCAACTAACTAAATATAACTATTGCTAAAAATAATCTTACAATGGTTTGGAGCAATATAAGTTAATAAAGAATAATATATGAATAGTGTAGTTTATTATGATACACTGGGAATTGATTGGTTATTCCCTGAAGAAATGCTTTCTTTTTATGCTCAGTAATTTTGCTCAGTAATTTTGTCTGCAGTTAACATTTCTGCTTCATCCAGTATCATAAACATTTTAATTAAATTGTGAATTAAATGAAAAAGAGGTCACTGAATTATATTCAGGAACAGCATGGTTGAGAACTAGAATGAGACTTCATAATATCCTAAAGCCATATTCTCTGATCTTAATTTTAGTCAAATTATATCCCATTCTGTAAATTTCTCAGAGGAAATGGACAGGAGAGCCCTTTCCCTTTTGGCCATTTCCACTGAGAAGGGCTTAGCTTCAAGTATGCAAGTTTTGATATATACAGTACCTTTCTCCAGTGGTGTGCTGATAAATACACAGTAAGCGCAAGCCACCAAACAACTGATGAGTGCTCTGGTCTGAACTGACTTACAACATTTGCAAAATGTAACAATTGGCTCTAGTGAGTTGGCTCCAGTACATCTCTGCCTTGCACACACTAATCGTTCAGGGTGGGAATATATGCAAACAGCAGTTGCTGAAGAGCTGACTGTTTTTCCCCCAGATAACTGAAACAAGCAGATAGTTAATTCCAAATCATTTCCTGATTTTTTTAAATACTCTGAACAAACTATTATAGTATCAGAAGCATAATTATAAATTAGAGAATTAAAACCAATCATTTAATATTTCACTGATTCAGAAAATAAAATACATTACTTGCTTTTTTATTTATCTGTGAATTTATATATTGTTACTTCAAAAATTGTAGGCAATTTACACTTCAGAACAGCAACAAGAACAAATGAATACAAGACTCCACATAGCCAGACTAAATATTCCCCTTGAGCAGTTGCCTTAACTGTTATTTCCTCCACACCAAACACTGAAAAAGCAGAAAAAGTTTTCACAGTTTTTGAGAATGCTAGCAAGTTAAGGGCAATCCTAACTTCAGGAGGCAAGTTGTTGCAGAAGGGACTTTTACCACAAAGGCATGCTTTTTTAATATCCCATCTTATTTTGATGGAGAGAATCCTCAGCCTGCTGTATTGGCTATATGGAGTGGACAAAATCTATGTGGATCAGTAATTTTTACCAACAATAAAGAGTATTAATAGAGAATCACTAGGATCTTCAATTGGACCTGGAAGCCCAACACGTAATCAATATCATTCCTGCAAATACTGGTTATTCTAATGCTTGCAACTGTATTTTGTATCAACCATAACTTCTGACTTGTCTTTAATGGCTGTCTCTTGAAGAGCAGGCTGTACTAATCTAACCAGGAGCACATAGGTAGTTGTTGCTAGAGCCTCGGGTCCAGAAAAGGCTACAACTGGGACACCAGCTGCAGCTGTCCTGATTATGGCCTCCACTTGCTATTCCAATAGGAGTTTAAAGTCCAGGGGGACCCCTTCAATTGTAAACCTGTTCTTTCAAGGGAAGTGCATCCTGACCAGAGTTAGTAATGGAGCAATTCTGGAATTAGAGAGCTTCTGAACAAACAAAACTTCCATCTTGCTGGGATTAATGCTAAGACTATCGTCCAGTCCCTCACAGCCTACAAGGACAAGGACAAGACTTCCATAGCATCTCCTGCTTGTCCTGGGGTAGAAATGTACATACTGATGGTATGTCTCCCTGAGCCAACAGATAACCTCTTCCAGTGGTTTCATGTAGATATTAAAAAGCAGGAGATGTTGAGGAGCCACTCCTCACCATCAATTTATTGAGGCTATCTTCTCGGGAAGGTATAGAACCACTGATTGATAAGATTATTTGCCACTGAGAGATAAAGCAGGACAAACAGCAGCACCCTATCCCCATCTAAATGGATAATTTCTGATGACTGAAGAGCCGCCCCAGGTTTTGTGTGACATGTTGAAGCTATACTGTAAAAGTAGGCAGGATTATGTCTTGGTCATCTTTAACAGGAACCAGTGAGAATTACATTCTGTCTTCATGCCTAAACCCTGACTGATAAAATGCTTCATCTAGCATCTTCTCAACATTTGTTAAAAGAAAAGATTGGAGATGGGTAATACTTGTCTATAATGTCTGGGTTAGAGCATGGTCTCTTGAGAAATCTTCCCCATCTCTTCTAAGTCTGGCAGTACCATTCCTTCCCTCAAAGAAGCATTCATTAGCATCTAATATAGTTCCTGCCTACTATCTAGTTTCACTAAAAGTTGCTAAATCATATATTTGAAAATTTATATATTTTGTTGAAGCTATAGGTTAGAATAATCATTCTTAATCTGTCCAGAGCTCATATTACGTATTCAAATAGAGAAAGTAGTACTTTTCCATTTCTTTCCAAGAACAGAAATTCTGGTTAAGTTATTGTTCAACCTTGAGGAACTTTTTAGTAAGTTGTTTACTCCTGCCAGCAAACCCAGTTATTGCATCCTTGGAAGAATCAATTTGATGAAAAGTGTTCAAGCATCATAATACATTTTAAGTGAAACAAATATTAGAACCTTTTTTTATTTTTCACCTTTTGCTGTATTAGTATTTCATATTTCCATGCTCACTTCCATGTTGTATTTCTTCTGTATCGGTTGTCCCAAAGATGCTTTTTTAAAGGCAACTGGACTTTCTTTGTTTTTCTTTGAAAAAGCACCTTTGGGATGATCTGGATGACTGAGAATGTCCATAGATATTCTGTATCAGTTGCATGACTTCTAGTGGCTGAAAGGATTTTGAGATTTTGAAATTTTTTGTGACATGTTGATGGCTGTACTGTATAAGTAGTCAGGCTATTGACCAGTTCTATCAAACAAAATGAGTACAAAGTATCTGCAAGACTTAAGCAATCAATTGTTCCTCTTAAATTGCCTCAAAAATGCAAAAATGAGTCTAGATGTTTAGCTTCTAGACCCTTGGAGGAATCTAGGGAATCACACACACACACAAAAAAAATATGGTGGGCTGCATGTAGCCCCTAATTTGGTCCTACGTAATTTAGGATATAAATAAAGATGTTATATTGCTATCATATTTTGAAGAAACAGCACTACTTCAATTTAATTTCAGCAGTAGTAGATTTTAGCTTTTCCCTTTCGTCTTGTCCTCTTTTTGTTCTCTCCTCATTCCTCTTATTTTCATGGATTATTTTATTCAGGCAGCTCTTTTTTAATTCATAATTTAAATGGCAATGTTAGATCTTGTTTTATGCTTACAATATTTACTCTTGTTTTAACTATTGTAATGTTTTTGTCTTAAATATTTTAAGTGCTTTTTAATTTTCCTAACATTTATGACTGTTGCAGCATTTCCATGGTCATGTGATCAAAATTAATATGCTTGGCAACTGACTTCTATTTATGACGGTTGTAATGTCCTGATGTCATGTGATCGTCTGACAAACAAAGTCAATGGGGAAGCCAGATTCAGCTAACAACCATGTTACTAACTTAATAAATGCAGTGATTCATTTAACAAATGTGGCAAGAAAAAGATTGTAAAATGGGGCAAAACTCACTTAACAAATGTCTCACTTAGCAGCAGAAAGTTTTGGTCAATTGTGGTCGTAAATTGAGGATCATCTGTATTACATTGTCATTTTGTCATTCCTTTCGTATTTTCCCAAACTCTTATGAATTCATTGTGTTTTATTTCATTTATGAAGTGCTACATAACACTTGAAACCCCCATAATGGATAAAATTCTTCTGCAATACAGTATGTATATCCATCATGTACTGGAGGAGAACTTCCTCCAATTGCCTGTCATTCTGAGGATGAAGAATAAATCATTTTAATAGTGATTGCTGATTTAATGGATGATCTGAGAAGTTGAATAGCACTTATTTTATTTTTTGTTTGGTTTCAGACTTGTTTATTTCTCTCAATTTTTAAGGTGATGTCATAGTTCCTTCAGCAGTTTAGCTTCTATATCTACTAATTGTCTTAGATCCTGTTTTGTATTTTATTATGTTGATCTTTATATATTTGTATTCCTATCTAATTGGATTTTTTACTTTTATGATGGAAATTTTAGTAGCATTATTCTATTGTAGGTTATTAATAAGTGGCTTTAAAACAAAACAGTAAATGTGTAATATTAAACATTTGCTAAATACTGAGACTTAAAATACAGCCATTTTAAGCTCTTTGTCTTTGATTGCTACTTGGATTTTAAAGAACCAGTAATTTTTTCAGAATTGTCTTTTAAGAAGAATTTTAATTGGTTATACCTTTGCTTTTGTAGGCACACAAACAAATGGCCTAGACTTTCAGAAACAGACGGTGCCTGTTCCAGGGGCAATCTCCACAGCCCAGGCATTCCTTGGACATCTTCATCAGGTAAACATGTTTTTTTTTTTCTTTTATACAGACCTCTTGAAAAAAGTCACATAGATAATTTTTATGTTCAGGATTAGTACAGTAAACAGCTGATATTTTAATAACTTCTATAAAATTTGCCAGATTCTGGAAATATTTAGCAGCCAATGTATGGAAGAAAATTGCAAATTGCAATGGAAACAGCAAAAAAATGCTCAATTGTTGAGTACATCATGACCATGTGATATGTCTTTTGTTACAATGTCTCATATTGCCCTTGGAAAGAATGCATGCATATCCACAAAATTATACAATGTTTTTAGCACATGATACAATTGCATATATTAAATAATTGCATAAATTATGAACATTCATAGGTTTTTGGAATATAGGTGTTGTCAAAAAGACAACAATTAACAGAGCAATGAGATAATTTCAAACTATCTTTATAATTTACTGATTATAAAGATACCGAAATTCAGCCAAAAGTTGTTACATAAAATTTGATTCTCCAAGAGTGAACTAGAGGCTGCAAATCATGATAATTGTTACCACTGCTTGGATATTGCTTATTTTCAGTTTCTATGTAAAAGCTACCATTGATAACTGTTGATGGCCTTGGAATCCATTTAATTTGTCTAGAATGATGCAAATTTTGTAGTGGGATCACTTTAAAGAAGAATCAGTTTGATGCAGTAGTTAAGACATCAGGCCAGAAACTGAGAGACCATTAGTTTGAGTACCGAGATCAAGTTTTAAGTACAAAGCCAGCTGGGTGACCTTGGGTCAGTCACATGCTCCCAGCTATAGGAAGGAGGCACTGGCAAACCACTTCCAAAAATCTTGTCAGGAAAACTACAGGGACTAGTCCAGGCAGTTACCAGGAAGTCAACACTGACTCAAAGGTACATATGTGCACGTACATACAAACACACACCACTTGATCATAAGCAATAAGTTTGAAGAGTTTTATGCCTTACTGAATTTGATTTAATTTGACTGGATTTATGTACTTGGATGGAAACATGACTAATCCAGGCATTTGATTTCAAAACCTCTTGTTCTTAGACACTAGAAGCCTAAGTGCTAAACAGATAATTAGAGGGTAGTTAAAGGAATGCTAGCAGAAGAATTTCCAGTAGTCATCATGAATGAGATGAAGGATTTTGACAATGAATTTTTATTGTTTTGTTTTGTTTTACAAATCAAGTGGTGTTTGGCAAATATAGAGATAAATATGTAGAAATAGAGGAAGAGTTAGCACAGTGATTGTATATACTGTACATAAAAACATTTCAGTAAAACGCTATTTTTAAAAAGTGGCAGTTGATAGTAAAAATAATTTTCCATTACAGTTTCTTACTATCGAAAAGGGGGGAAAATTGAATTGGGAGTCTGCCACATAAAGAGTAGTTGAACAAAAATAGTTTCTTGACTGTTTCTATTGTCATATTCAAAGTAGGATGACATATTTTTAAAACCCATGTTTAAATGAGATGATTATTCATTCTAGAAGTCAGGAAGTTAGTGTAGTGCAGCTAAGAAAAGAAATAAGAGTTTCAGATTCTAATGTATCACACATTTAAAGCTGTAACTTAAAACATAATTTTACAATGCGCTGGCGTTTCCTAGTCTTGTAAATTGTTTGATTATATGGAATCTTTTGCTACCTTAGAACATCTAATAAATCAAAATTATCTTATAATGTTTTAGCTTTGGTGAGATAAAAAAAACATAGATTCTTGCTTGCCTATCCCTTTTCTATGTAGCATGTATTCTTTATGTGATAAGTGCATGGAGGTTCTTGCTCAAAAGAATCCACTTTTTTATATACTATTTATATACTATTTAAACTTGTGTATTCCTTCTTGGTCATTTTGGGTACTGCCAAAATTGGACTTGTATGTTGGAGCAGGAAAAAGGGAATGGGTTGAGAATTCCAATTGTTTCTCCAATACCTGATCTTATATGTCAAAGCGCCTTTTAGTGTTGGCATGGTGGGAGGTTAATTTGTCAGACCCATCACTTCTCAATTCCAAAAGCAAACCATACCACCAAATTCTGAGAAGCACATAATGAATAGAAAGTGAATTTCAATTTGGAAAGGACAGCAAATGTTTGCTTTCTGAATTTGTTTAACATATTTTATTTATTTGTTTGGGAAATATTGGAAATTTGGGAAATGTTACTACAGCCTAGTATAGATTGCTTCTTCTCACATTTACTTTTTTAAGTGGAGAACAGTTGTTGTTTTTAAAAAGGGGATTGTTTCACTGTTATTTGTAAAAAATAAATGGCTGTCAGGTACTTTTCTCCCATAAAAGTAAAGAAAGGCATGATCTTTAACACCCATCGCCCTGGAGTAAGGTCTGCCCCCACCTTCCTATCCTTCTGTAGGAGTTTAAAGACCTGGCTCTTCCAGTTGGTCTGGGATCCAATGAGGGAGTACCACACTGGAAGTGACCGTTGGACTAACTAGATGACCCCACCTCTCCCCTGTGTATTCTATTCTTCCCTTGTCCATCTTTTAATTCATATTGCGGTACTTTATTTTTATTGTTTAATTGTTTTACTATTGTTATATTTACATTTTTTATAATTTTTCAATCTACTGTTGTAAACCAGCCAGAGTAGCCCCACGGCGAGATGGGTGACAAATAAATTTTATCTGTCTATCTCTCTCTCTCTCTCTCTCTCTCTCTATATATATATATATATATATATATATATATATAGAGAGAGAGAGAGAGAGAGAGAGAGAGAGAGAGAGAGAGATATCTATATCTATCTTACCCCCTACCTAACAGCTGCCAGTAGGCTTCAATATATTTCTACACCTGGTAAAACTTGTTTCAGAAGATCAATTTGTCTCATACTTCTATTTGTTTGTCTGACAGATGTTAGAATTTTCTGACAATTTAGGTGGTAATTCTGGTTCTATGGAATATATATATTTCTCTTTTCCCAACTGTCTTAATTACAATATATTCTACATGAAAGGGCTTAAGAAATCAGTTACCTGTAGTAGAAAATACAACAACAGACCTAGATTGTGTCACAGTAAAATATTTTTTTTAAAAAAGAGAGACTTCACAAAATTCACAGTTTGAGTTAAAATAAATTGTCCTATTTAAGTAATACCTGTTTCAGTAACAGCGTGTTTGTTCTTCAATGGCAGAACACGGAAACATTCCCGTACTTCCATGAACCTTCTCAGATACAGAGAAAAAAACAAATGTAATTTCAGGTGTTGATTATATTGCAGTAATTATGTGTACAAAACTTTGTATGTTTGTCACAAACATCCTGATATTTCCTAGAGTGTTCCATGTTGCCCAAGAATGAGCTCATCCAATCACTGGGATGGTTGGAGGCCAATATACTTAAAACACTGTCTCTACTGTTCTTTACTGTGCTTCTTAATAGAGTTTCCTTCAGACTGAACTTCAGTCCTGGTGATTTTGTGTACATAGCCGTACTATTTCCTGTGCAAAATATAGAAATTATTTCCCTCAACTTCCAAGCCCAGTTCAGGTATTGCAATCTATGTAGCATAAGCTAACTATGAAAATCTGTTAGCTTAATCAAATTGGGCTGGCTTGAGCTAAATTTTAAATTGATTTTAAATTGGGTTGTTTTAATTTACGGCCAGAATATTTAATTATTTTAATACTGTTTTTTAAATTTTGTATGCTTTGTTTTTACTTAGGCTGTGCACCGCCCTGAGTCCTATTTGGAGAAGGGCAGGATAGAAATTTAAACAAACAAACAAATAAATAAATAAATGAGATGTGCAGGAAAAAATATCTTAGTAATCAATGTGATTTGGCTGGTTTAGCCTTGGATCCTATAATGTTCACAAAAACTGAAATGTGATAGAATATTGGGTGTTTGAGGCTAATGCAACAAGGCAGTAATACACAAAATGATTAGTGATTGTGCTAGGGTATATGCATGTGATCAAGGAACATGCATGAGAATATACATAATGCTATACATGCATCAGTTTTAACCAATACACGTATTCTTAACAATTCAATCATTTTGTCTGTACTACCTCTAGTCACCTTCCATTCATCCATTGTCCACTATTCCTAAACTTTATGTGCTGCTGCTGTTGTTTTTTAAATACATTTTAAGATCATTTAGAATGTATATAAATTTGTCACTGGGCAGTAGGTATAAAAGGCTAAATTCAAACATGTATTTTGCCATCTATATACTACTAAATTCTTGTGTTTGTTTGTTTGTAACCTTCAGTTGGTGAAATGGTGCGTCATAGGACCACCATTTTGGAATTTGCATACTTCAGAAGGATTAATTTACAGAATGCATATAAAATCTGTGGGAATAAAATGTAGAAAAGTTGTGGCAGCTTTAGTGGCTGCACTGCCACAGTCAGCTGCAGTCACATTATAGTGATTTCCAAACATTCAAGGAAACTCCATGGGAAAGCCAGCAAGAAGTCAGAAGTTGCTCCCGCTCCTTCTGCTTTTTTGCTCATCCATAGTTATTCCGCCTTTTTGTTTAGGTAATGAAATATATCTGAAATGATGACCCAATGGGTCACAATTGTCTGGTTAACTATAAAATGTTCAATGAACTATAAAATGTTCAATACAGCTTGTGTATTGTTTTTAAGTTCACGTGGTTTGCAAGATTAGTTGGCAAAACTTCTTAGCATTCTTGCAAATTTGTGTGCTCTGGTTCAAGTTGATATCCAGTTCATACTTTTATAATAAAAATATATATGCTGCAAAAAATTATTCAGAGCTGCCTTGGAGTTTACCTTTAGAGAAGGAGGAAAACTGAGTATCTGTGACAATTAGCTCCTTTATAATATAGGATGAATTTATTTAAAAATAAAATTTAGTCTATACAGATATGTTTACTGCAGAACATAGCATCACTCACAATTATCTAATGAGATTTTTTTAGTTTTCATTAAAATAGTCTTAAGTATTTTTGCCAATTATGTGTAAGAGAAACATATTCATAATTTGATACTACAAAAAGAATTAAAACAGCAAAAATTGCAAGTTTTTATCTTCGCCATATCTCTACAACAGCTATGTTGCAATGCTGGTTTGCAAATCTCTCTAATGAATACTGTTCTATCTCGTAATACTACCAAAGAGATTAAACTGGATGTTGGCACTGCTGAATGAAGCGTTTTTACAGGATAATTACTTGCTTGGTGACAGATGGCATGCTTATACATTTGTAAAATCCAACCCAAAAATTTGGGAAAAGTTGGAAAAGTTGGAAAAGAGTATTTGCTTATATACTAACTACCTTGTTTATGTCTCCTATTTACATGTATGCTACCTGAATAATATATTTGAGTTCCCAGAGCTATGCTGTAGTTCAACAGAGTGTATAGGAAAATTCATATCCTTTCTAATTTGGAAGTTTGTGTTCTTATGAAAATGATACACAACATGGTGGAAATCCCTACTTTAAAAAATAGTTAAACTTCTATACAAGAATGCCCTTGTCTCTTTGATAAGAACATTTTAAAAAATTTTAATTGGAGTGATTTTCAACCAATAAAGAATGCATTACCATCCACAAATCTAGGTTCACACAACATACTAAAATCTGAAGAAATTTAACATTTAGTGAATGCATAGTATCTATGATACTGTGCTCCACAAATTTCTAATGAATTTTTAATAAGATTCTAATTTTTGACTGCTTCATAAAAAATGCTGTTTTGATTTAGTCAGCTCCTGAATCTTCCCCAATCAGTTCAGTTCTGCAATGGGATTCAGCCTCCTAGCAAATTTCACTCATTATGATTTCATATCAATGTAGTTTTCTTGGCAATAATGCCATTGCATTCTGCTAATTAGAATATTTTTATTAGCCTATCTAACCTTCAGGGTTTAAATAGTATTTAAGACATAATACTTATTATGTGTTTTTCAAGCTGGAAACTTTGCAACCATTTTACTGATTCTATTCATAAAAACAAATTGTTTTTATAGGTTCAGCTTCCTGGATCAAGTTTACAAGCTGCTGCCCAATCCTTAAATGTACAGGTAAGAATTACTATAAATTTCTCATCTGTCTCAGTCCATTTAGTTGAAATATGAATAGTATGACACAATAATCATTAGGTGTTCAACAGCAATTAATGCTGTTAAAACTATTAAAAACAGCTCCTTTTATATTATGGAAGCGGATAACATCATCAACATTTAATCCTATCTTTTAAATATATCATTTTGGAAAGTTATACAATGTTGGAGAAAATGCATTTATTTTCAATAGCTGAATCTAAAACTTGTTCATTTCTTTTAAAGATATATAGCTGACTGAATAAGCTTTGTGTATTGTATGATGCTACACCAAATTGTGATCCTCTGATTCTTACTATTAAGACATTCAAGCAATATATTAAAAAAGAAAAGAAAAGGAATGCAACAAATAGTATTTGGAAGTGGCTTCATTATAAGAATGCTAAAGACCGAAGACTATTCTTGAAGCCCTCTAGAACACACATCTAGTTACAAATGATGCTTCTGAAAGGAGCAGGAAAAGTGACCTTCTTCTGTAAAAAAGAGGCTGAACATTGACTTGGTTGCCATGGTAATTTTTCAATCCCAGAGAGAGATGTTGGCAAACAGGCTATATCTCCAGTGCAGAATGTTTACAGTCCTGTGCTGTAATTATCTCTCAATGACTGGCAGAATTAATCAGAGCCTCTATGTTAATTAGCCTGCTCTGTGGTCCCCAAAACAGGTGGTGGAAAATATGCAAATCTATGCAGAATTTTAATGTTCTCCATAAGCGATTTTAATTAGCATAAACCCCTCTTTGGGCTTTTTTCCCCCCCGTCTTTCTTTTGCTTTCTTGCTTCCATTTCCTGCCTCGTGGCTATATATTAATTTGTTTTTCTATAAAATAGTTTAAATATGTAAACTGAGCTTGCCGTTATAAATACCAGAATTTCACTGATTAGAATAATATTTGTATTCTGAGTGTTGGTTTTCTTTCCCTTGATACTTTTTGATATACAAACATTTTAGTATCTTGTTTAAATTGAATGCCATATTGATAAAATGGATACATGGAAATTGTGATCCTGTGATCCAAACCTTCAGTATTAGGATTGGTTTTCCCAGTAATTAATAGGGTTGGCCAATGTCACATACTTGGTGAAGGTATGCATCTAAGAATTATCAGTAAAATTGCATTGACTAGGAAAGTTTGGAAGCTTTAGCAGCACTAATTAATGTATTGGTTTAAACCAATGCATAAGTGATAGGGAGATAATAAATCAGAGGCTTTATGTATTCAACATATTCATTTCTATCCAACTATGAAAATAACCTGAAATTACTGCTCTTTTCTTTTGTTCCAAATATTTTATTTTTTACTGGTGCGAAAGCAGATACAACCCCATCTATTACCTATGCTTATTTATAGACCCCAATAAATTTTTTAAAGTGTTTTTTTTAAAAAACAAATTAATTCACAGTCAATGAACAGGGAAAACACTACAGTAGAATATGTTTTTGTCCACACTAATAACTGCTGTGTTCTACAAAGTTTGTATTTTTCTTTCTCTAGTCTAAATCTAATGAAGAATCTGGGGACACTCAGCAGCCAAGCCAGCCTTCACAGCAGCCTTCAGTTCAGGCGGCCATACCGCAAACACAGCTTATGTTGGCTGGAGGGCAGATAACTGGGGTAAGATCAGCTGTAGTGAATGAGAATGAGCAACCTTCTCAAGTTGTGGTATTAGCCAAACAACCCATAAAAGGAAAGTGAAGTAATCCCAGTGAATCTGAATTTATCAATATTATGCATTCTTGTAAATATCCGACAAGATGATAAAACAGATTGTTTTGGTTTTCCTGATAAGTATTCTACGTAAAGAGAGAAAGTACAAAAATTCTCTTTGCTATTTCTTCTAAATATTGCATTTTCATATGACATTCTGGATTCTAATAGAGTAGTCTTTTGATCTCTAAGCCCAATATGTTGTATTAATGTTTAACTTTCACACTTTTAGTTTTATATGTGGTGGCAATAGTTGTTCGTGTCCTGGCTACGACAATATATTTACGTAAATATAAATACATTTGAAATCTCCTAACCAAAGCAGCTCTATTGCAAAGTATCAGCGATTATAGATATAATTTTAATAAAACCTCTCAGTCTAAACTGTTAGTGAATTTTTACACATTTGTTTTCTACTCTTCTGAAACAAATATAAATTTTAGAAAACAAGCAATTTGTGATGAAATAAGTAGCATCATAGAAACAGCAATGTAACTTATTACATGATTGAATGTATTGGTGTCTCTGAAGTCACAATGAAATCACACTCATATTCATGATATCGAATCAGGTATTCTAATATTCATCCTAAAGTGTAACTTTGATTACATGTTTTGGTTTGTTGACATTCTGTTTTTCATATAGAAAAATGAACCCTTAAATTAACATTTTAAAATTTGGCATGAGATGAAAAGCTCTTTATATGGGCTTTTCAGCTGAACTCTTTGTACATTTTTCAATTGAGCAAATATATGCCGTAACAATAGCAAAATAACATATAAATCACAATTTTACTGTAATCTGAGTATCATTCTTTAAGGCTTATGATAAGATTATGTGTGAATATTTGCATGGACCTATCCAGCATCCTTCAGGCTTATTGAAATGCTGTCTGGGTCATATTGCTGAAACGTTCTTGCCTGTAATATAGGGAGTGGATCCAGGTCTTTGAACCTAGCAGCTCTCTCATTACAGAAACTGGGAAGAATATTAATGTGTCAGAGGGAGTTCAATGCCACCTGTTTCATAGAGATAATGCATGTTTGGAAACTGGCAGAGATGTCAACTTACCAGCTCAATGTTATCAAAACAAAAAGACAGACGGAAGAGGGGGTGCCTTGGAAAGGAACAAATGGTGCACATGTTCCTCATCTATATCTTAAGGCATAATGGGGATGATGGAACATGGCAGGGATTCATATTAATATGAAGCAGCTGGAGTATTATCAGTTGTTTGGTAACCACAGCCAGTATTGCTATTTTTCATTCATCTGGCTAATCGCTTGTGCTTCTGGTGGATGTAAATTTCCTTTCAAAGCCTGTCAATGATGGCTTGTTCTTTTTGCTTGCTATTTCCTGTCAGTGCTGTTTCTCTCCACTGCTTGCTTGCTTGCTAATTACCTTTTTCACATTAATTTTGAAGAGGAATCATAGAGAATCTTGCTTCTCTGATCTCAGCCGTACGAATGGTCACAAGCACATGTCAGCCCCATTTGGGTGATGTAAAATTAACTGGATAGCTTGATTTTTTTTTTTTTATTGAAGCAAAAAATATGAAATAGCTTTTTAAATAAAAACTTCTCAGAAATTAACAGTGATACTTAAGAAAGCGGCTTTTCCTTTCTTTTATTAATGAATGTCCTAAAACTTATTTTTAGCTTACGTTAACACCAGCCCAGCAGCAATTATTACTACAACAGGCACAGGCACAGTTGCTGGCAGCTGCAGTGCAGCATTCAGCCAGTCAGCAGCACAATGCTGCAGGGGCCACCATCTCAGCTTCTGCTGCAACGCCCATGACACAGATTCCTCTATCTCAGCCGATACAAATTGCACAGGTGAGGTTCAAACTGTTAATGGCTTTAGTTGGCCAAATATTCTTTTTTGTTGTTCACAGAACAGCTGAAGTTTAAATCCATTATATATCTTGTTGTGAGAATATCTTAGGTACCCAGTAACTGCTGTGCCATATCCTTGTTGTAGAAAGTGTGTAACTTTTTAAATCTATCACTATTCAATCCAGGAAGGAAGGAATTTTTTTAAAAAAGTAGAAAGTGAGAGGAGGAAGCTTAGTTGATAAAGCTAAACTATGGAATCAGCAAAGCAAAACTTCATGTCCAAATCTTCATATAACCTCTAGAACAGGGGTTCTCAACTTCTGGGCTATGGCCCATTCGGAACCGGGCCCTGCAAGTAGCAGGTGAGCATGTATGCATGCACAGTTCCATTTGTGTGAGTGGCATGCGCATGCATCTGCCACTCTCACAAATGGAGCTGCACGTATGAGCATGCATGCCTGCCACACACAAAGAACTGTCCCCTCCCCCCCTGCCAGGCTATGAAGCCAGAAGGTTGGGGACCACTGCTCTAGAACCTTTTACATTGTAGATGGAAGAAAATACTTTCATCATTTCGTTTATCATTAACAACATGGCTTTTCTTACTTGAATTTCTGTTATAACTTACCACCAAATAACTATTTCTTGTAATAGATTTAATCATTGGAATCAATGATTTAGGAGATCATCCAAATGATACATAGGCCATTAAGTCAAAATCCTTGTGCTGAATATAGGAATCAAATTAATTCATTAGTGGCAAATGGTAAATCAGCCTCAGCCTCTACCTGAACACATCTAGTAAAGGGAAGACCATTAATATTATTAGGGAACTGCTCTTATTGTTATAAAAGTTTGGCCTTGGCCATTAATTTTAATGAGATTTTGATGAGATTTTCAAACTCTGTATAAAGTCATTAAGCAGATCGTTAAAAATTATGTAGTGATGTTTCTTGCCTTCTGTCTAGCTGCTGTTATTAATATTTTTATATAACAGTAATATATATATATATATATTCAATTTATATACCGCCCTTCTCCCTGAGGACTCAGGGTGGTGCACAGCCAGAATTAAAAACATGAAATACAAATATTAAAAACAATTAAAATCTATATAAATTTGGCCCAAAATTTTAAAAACCACAAACCAATTAAACATCTAAAAATTTTAAAAAATTTCTTCCTAAGCCAGCCCGGCTTGCTGGAAAAAGTGGGTTTTAAGGGCACTGCGGAAGGCACTGAGGTCTTGGATTCTCCTTATCTCTGGGGGCAGCTGATTCCAGAGGGTAGGTGCCCCCACAGAGAAGGCTCTCCCCCTGGGGGTCACCAGCCTACATTGTTTGGCTGATGGCACCCTGAGGAGGCCCTCTCTGTGGGAGCGCACGGGTCGCTGGGAGGTCGTCGGTAGCAGCAGGCGGTCTCGAAGATAGCTAGGCCCTATGCCATGGAGCGCTTTAAAGGTGATAACCAACACCTTGAAGCGCACCCGGAAGACCACCGGGACCCAGTGCAGCTCGCGCAGGAGCGGTGTTACATGGGAGCGCCATGCTGCTCCCATCACTACCCGCGCTGCTGCGTTCTGGACCAGCTGGAGCCTCCGGGTGCCCCTCAAGGGGAGCCCCATGTAGAGAGCATTCAGTCAAGGCGAGAGGTGACGAGGGCGTGAGTGACTGTGCACAGGGAATCCCGATCAAGAAAGGGCCGCAACTGGCGAATCAGGCAAACCTGATAAAAGGTCCCCCTGACAGCCGTCAGATCTTCCTCCAAGGACAGCTGCATATCCAGGAGGACTCCCAGATTGCGAGCCCTTTCTGTGGGGGCCAAGGACTCGCCCCCAATAGTCAGTGATGGAGTCAACTGACTGTATCGGGATGCCGGGAGCCACAGCCACTCAGTCTTGGAAGGGTTGAGCTTGAGCCTGTTCCTCCCCATCCAGATCCTCACAGCCTCCAGGCACTGAGACATCACTTCAAGGGCATCGTTGGGGTGGCCTGGGGTGGAGATGTACAGCTGGGTGTCATCAGCGTACTGATGGTATCTCACCCCGAAGCCACGGATGATCTCGCCCAGCGGCTTCACATAAATGTTAAACAGAAGGGGCGAGAGGACCGATCCCTGTGGCCCTCCACAGACGAGAGGCCTCGAGGTCGACCTCTGCCCCCCTGCCAACACAAACTGCGACCGGTCGGAGAGAAAGGAGGAGAACCACCGCAATACGGTGCCTCCCACCCCCAACTCTTCCAGCCGGTGCAGCATGATACCATGGTTGATGGTATCAAAAGCCGCTGAGAGGTCTAACAGGACCAGAACAGAGGAGCAACCCCTGTCCCGAGCCCTCCAGAGATCATCAACCAACGCGACCAATGCCGTTTCCGTGCTGTGCCCATACCTGAAACCCAACTGGAACGGATCTAGATAAGATGTTTCCTCCAGAATTGTGGAAACTGTCGCGCGACCACATTCTCAACAACCTTCGCCATAAAGCGAAGGTTGGAGACTGGACGATAGTTGGCCAATATTGCCGGATCCAGGGACGGCTTCTTGAGGAGAGGCTCACCACCGCCTCTTTCAAGGCAGCGGGGAAGTAACCCTCACTCAACGAAGCGTTGATAACACCCTGGAGCCAGCCTCGTGTAACCTCCCGGGAAGCCAGTACCAACCAGGAGGGACACGGGTCCAGTAAACATGTGGCCGTACTAAGTCTCCCCAAAATCCTGTCCACATCATCGGGAGTCACAACATCAAACTCCTCCCAGATAACATTCTCAAGACTATTCCTCGTCACCCTGCCCTGATCTACCCAGTCAGAGTCCAAATCCCCCCGGATCTGAGCGATTTTGTCATACAGGTATATGATAGACTGATGGATAATATAAATATGCACTTATTTGCATATTATAAAATAATCCGTTTTTACCATTCCGCTTGTTGAGTAATTTGTTATCTCCGATTTACCAATGTTTCAGTGGTCATCATGTGAATCCCATCACTATGATTCCCAGTATTTATTTTTTAATATAGAAAAACAGTAAACATTATGATGATGATGAATTGGTCTTGGCCATCTACAAAGTGTGCATTGCTTCATTTATATTTCATCCCTTTCCTCATGCATAAATGGGGAAATCCTACCCATTTCGCTGGCTAGAGAGGAGAAAAGGTAATAGAGAAAGGCAGTATCTTTTCCCCCTCTAAAAATGCTAGCTGCTTCCACAGAAGTAGGTGCATGAAAAAAGAGACAGAACCCATTAGATCTTCTTGTTATTAAAGGCTGCTGCAGAAAAATCTCAGTGGGGTCTGCCTTTTTCATGAATCAGTTGCAGTTTCACAACTTTCTTATCAGCAAGGGACAGGTACAGAGAATAAAGGAGCCAGCCTGAAGCATCAGCATTTGCTGTTAAGGATTTATTTCTGTTATGAACATGGCAGCAAATCTGAAAACTTCAAAGGTTTTTCAGTGGAAGGAGTGATAAAATTTATTTTATCACATATTGTTCCATATATACCCTTCAATGGTGTACGTAGGTACATTGTGTTCAGGGAACAAGATGTTTGGAGTCCTTCCTTTGGCTTCATTTTATTCTAAAAAGGAGAAGGGGAAGGTGTTTAGTTTTCGATATCTCATATGTTTTCCTTCTTGAAGGATCTGCAGCATCTACAGCAGCTCCAGCAACAAAATCTCAATCTGCAACAGTTTGTCTTGGTGCATCCAACAACCAACTTGCAACCAGCACAGTTCATCATCTCACAAACACCGCAGGGGCAGCAGGGTAAGCAATACATTTCTGAGATAATCTTTTAGAGTTTTCCATACAGCAAATTCATGTATTTTTGAGACACTATTTTTTAAAAAAATTGGTTACAGGCATGCTTCTTTTGGGAGAAGAAAAAGAACCATTTTATTGGAACCATCTGACTGACTCTAGTCACCTGATCAGGATGTATCTACTCAGTGTCCCTTTATAAGAATCATTTATTCTGTGTGAAAGATAAAGAAATATATTTTTAAAATAGTTTTTCTTCTAATTGCATATTGATTACTCAGCAACAGATTTACATTTCTTTGGAATGTCTAGAAGTTGTTCAGCTGTATCACTTACTTGAAGCTTAAGCATATAAGAGTAATAGTTAATTGGCTGAGCTTGTTCCCAGAAAATTCTACAGAATAGACATGTCATAAACCTTCAAGGGGACTATTATGAGAATAGTATCTTTATATTATAGATCTTTTTTTTTTCTTTTGGCTTAAAGCAGGGGTGTGAAACTGGTGGCTCGTAGGCCAGATGCATCACCCACAGGCCATGTCCACCCCAGCTCCGCAAAGGGGAAAAAAGTCACAATACGTCAGGTGATGGCAGTGACGCTGCGAGTTTGACACCAGTGGCTTAAAGGAAGCACAAAATACTGGTAGCTTGTAGATAAAGACAAATAATTTGCCCTTCCCCTTTTCCTCCTTTTGTCAGGTTACCGTGTAAGGAGCAATTGTATCAACCATTATTAAACACTGGCTTTCTAGGAAATGGAATAGTAATGCAATTCGCTAGAACAAAAGTTCATTTGTATATTGCTAATCATACCTGTGGAGAAATCTGATAAGTAACAGCTAGGGGCAGAACCTCTATTTAGACATGGAACCCAGTAGAGAATTTTCTAAGCAATGGCTTGGCTTACCACAGGATTCCCATATGGGGTTTCTGGCTAATAGCTCACAATGGGAGTTCTGTCGGCAAAACCCTCTGAACACTTTCTGGGCAGGTCCTTTGAAATATGCTTGTGGTTAAACATCCAGAAGATGGTTCCATGATGATCTCTGTGGAGATCTTGCAAGGATTTTTAGGTTATTAACACCTAGTAAAAGATACACACACATTCACATATAGTAACAGGCTTTACACTGAGAATGTAATATTTATCTCAGCTTTTCCACAGTTGCTCTCTTATTGGATAAGACTACATGTTTTTGGTGTGGATTAAATTTTAATTAGGTTGAATTTAAATGTTCAGGTATAGATATAAGGTTTAGAACTTAGAAACTGATATCAAAAGTTGCTAATTGCTATTAAATTTCCCATATACTTTCTTGGAAGTATAAATATTAACTATTGCATACGCTTAAGCCATTAAGACCATTAACTCCTGCAGTATAGTTTCTAATATGAAGTAATTGTTTGCTGTGTAACTTATCTATAGTATACCCGCTTCTTAAGAATCACTCCAAGTTGGATTTAATAAGAGGATGTGTTCTTAATGCTTTAACATGATCGTTTTATCTGGTGAGGCTTGGTCAAAAAGATTGAAAGCCATGTGCATTTGCTTTTAAACTATGCACAACTTCCTGTAACATCTGCAGTTCAAAACACTGTAGTTACTACGAATTGGAAGTATTTTCAAATACCAAAAAAAAATCTATTAATTTATGAGGTCTTAGATTTTGTTTCATTTTTCCTATCCTTTTAAAAGGACAGAGAAGACATGTATATAAACTTTTTGAATTTTCTATAAACCCTGTATCTCCATCAAAATAATTGGAAGGAAGCATTAAGTCTTGTCCTTTCCTCTTCAGTAAAGATTACTGTATCTAAAGTATCTAAATAAATGGCCATCAATTTACAGGTAGTCCTCAACTTGCAACAGTTCATTTAATGACCATTCAAATACAACGGCACTGGAAAAAGTGACTTATGACCGTTTTTCACAGTTACAACCTTTGCAGCATCTCCATGATCATGTGATCAAAATTTAGATGCTTGACAACTGGTTCATACTTATGACCGTTGCAGTGTCCTGGGGTCATATCCCTTTTTGTGATCTTCTGACCAGCAAAGTCAATGGGGAAGCCAGATTCACTTAACCAGGTTATTAATTTATCAACTGCAGTGATTCACTTAACAACTGTGGCAAGAAGTGTCATATAATGGGGCAAAAGTCACTTAACAAATTCTCATTTAACAACAGAGATTTTGGACTCAATTGTGGTTGTAAGTTGAGGACTATCTGTATTTGCTTTTTAAATGGACTGCTGTAGGCAAATTCATGGAGTTCAACAAGTAATACTGAACAACAGAATCAAAGGGAACATACCCTAAACATGATTTGCTGAATGTTTTTGGTTAACACAGAACAATCAATACATTTATTATTTTTAGAATTTAAGTACTGCCCAACATCACTGACTTTGAGTGGTTTGCAGTATAACAAAAACACAAAAACAAAGCAAGATGGTATCCAGTTGCTCCAGATAAAATAATAGAAAAACAAATACCACAAGAGATTCATTTCATAGTAACCGAAGGCCTGGGATGTCTTTAAGGCCTTCAGAATGCCACCAGGTTAAGAATTATACTGATTTCAGTGCGAATCTCATTCAAAAGGGCAGGCATCATAATAAAGAAATCACATTTCCTGGATCCTGATAGCACTGTTTAATCAAAAGAGCCTGGAACCCACCAATTATAGCAGCACATATGGACCAGGCAGAAACCAGGGAGATAGGTGGTCCTTCCAATAGTCTGTTCCTATGTTATATAGGGTTTTACAGATTATATCCAACATATTGAATCACACTTGGAGCATGCTGGCAACCAGTGCAGCTTGTAAAGTGGAGGTCTCACATAGACATTCTGAGGTATGTTTATCACTGCCCACACTGCTGCATTCTGGACCAGTTGAAGCTTCTGAATGGTGTTCAAGGTAGTCCCTATATATAGCACAGGGTAATAATGCAGCCATGAGGTGAATGGAATATGACTGATTTTCTGAAGGGCTTCCCAATTTAGAAGGGGCACAATTGATTCCTCTAATGGAGCCAAAGGTCTTCCCTCCTTTCCAATTCAAGTCCTTCTTTGCCTAATCAGTTATCTGGTATACGCTTCAGTCATATACTGCACTATTTACAGTAGATTTCATAACCTGAAGCCCAAGAGTTTTAAGTGACCCTCCAAACCATTTGGCTTTCCAACCATTTATAAATCTTTGGGATTCTTAATGTGATATAAGGGAAAATTAAATTTACTTAAAATTTAATTTAATCTCATACCTTTTTGCTTTATAATCTTAATCTGTAGCTCAGAATTAAAGTGCAAACTATGGTTTGAGAGACTGTGCCCACATGAGTTATGCTTTCAAAAGCACAATAACATAAGAGCTTAGCTAATATTTTTCTTCCTGCTCTGTTTCCACTGTTTTTAAGAAAATAATGGAGCTAATATAGACTTCGTTTAACAGTAGGCTGAGCAACAAATATGATACACATGAAGAAATGCTGTGCATTTTAGAACCTGTACTGCAGCAAACTATGCTAATTAATTTCATTTATGTAAATGGAATTCAATTTTCAGGTCTCCTGCAAGCGCAGAATCTCTTAACGCAACTACCTCAGCAAAGCCAAGCCAACCTCCTGCAGTCTCAGCCAAGCATCACTTTCACCTCTCAGGTCAGTTCATTGCTTGTTTATTTTGTTTTATTTATTCTGCTAACTGATGAGATATAATAGAATAAAAGAAATAGTGCATGATTTGAATTCTTGGTCTCATTCTTCAGGATTATCAACCCAGGTGGCCTTCAAAATGCCTATCATGTCACCTTCTATAGGCTCACACATTGCTGTGGTTGTTTCCAAGGCCACAAATTTACTACACAAGAGGGCATGGAATGACATTGCCAATTCAGTTTCATTTTCAATTGCCTGCAAACAAATATTTGGAAGTCTACTGGAAGCATAGTATTTTAGGCCAGAGTTCCCCAACCTTTTCAGCTTTGCTCATGCAAGTGGAGATGTGCGTACTCTCCCACTACTTCCATTGCCCGGATCCGAACAGCTCAAGGCCAGGTAGTGGGCCGGGGATTGGGGACCCCTGCTTTAGGGGAAAGGGAGAATGAGAGAGGAATAATGCTGAATATTTTCTTCCCAAACATAGTCTTCATCATGATCACAGGTAAGTTAATGTCCTTTCCCCATTTTTGTGATCTTTACCATGGAAAGAAAAATAGAGATGTTTGGATATCTCTTTCTCTCCAAGAGGTTTCTTTCTATTATTCCAACAAGGTTTTAAAATGATATTTATTTCAATCCTGAACCTCCATTTGTTTATTTTCAGTGGATCATTTTGAATGTTAACATTAGGAGAGTGAGAAGAAAAGTTTATCTCTATCCATTTTATCTATGCTATCAATGATTTTATATAATCCTATCATATCTTCCCATACCATTCTTATTGTTGTAGCCTTTCCTCATGAAAGCTGCTTCATCCCACCAATCATCTTCCCTTTTTTACATTAACTTCAGTGCTGACGAGCCATGATCAAATCAGTACACAATAGTCAAGGGCAATTGCAACATAGATTTATATAGTATTATATCGGTCGTTCTATTCCCTTTCTATGATTCCATTTATTTATTTATTTATTATTCGTATTTCTATGCCGCCCACTCTCCGAGGTCTCTGGGCGGCTTACACCAAAGACAGTATACTAAATAGCATATTGCCCCCAACAATCTGGGTCCTCATTTTACCCACCTCGGAAGGATGGAAGGCTGAGTCAACCTTGAGCCGGTGAGATTTGATCTGCTGAACTAGCAGTCAGCTGAAGTAGCTGCAGTACTGCACTCTAACCACTGCGCCACCTCGGCTCCATTCATAACATTTGTCTTTTGTACAGCAGCTGCTGACTGCATTGACATTTTCAAGCTCTCCACTATTACACTGTTACAAGATCACCTTTCCTGGTCAGTTACTAGCATCTCAGATCCCATTAATATATTGATAAATTTTAGATTTTTAAACGCCAACATGTAACTCTTTACCCCTGTTTACTTTGAACTGTGTTTGCTTGGGGAAGTCCATACTTTACGATCACTTTTGATTTAGCCGCCTTTCATTGCTGCTAGTCAGCCCTACTTCCATTTAATTTATAAGGAATATAGATTATATCAGTTGTTCTGAAATAAATCTTTGAGGGACTTCCTCTTTGTACATCTCAGCATTGTGAGAATTGAACATTTATGCCTACTCTCTGCTCTCTGGTTTTAATTAATTGCTAATCCATGAGAGCACTTGACTTGGCCCAAAACTCTTTGGTGATATTCTTTGATCAAAGCTTTTCAGAAATTGTGAAATATCTATTGAGTCATCCTTGTTCATACGCTTACTGATATACTTCAAAATATCTACTGTGTTTCACCAAAAATAAGACCCTGTCTTATTTTATTTTTTTGAACCCTGAAATAAGTGCTTGGCCTTATTGCCATGCGCTCAAAAGCCCGATTGGGCTTATTATCAGGGGATGTCTTATTTTGTGGGAAACAGGGTAGACTTCATTTTATATTACTATGAAATTATTAAAATTATTAATTTCCTTCCAAATAGCTATGGTGATACCAATTTTAGCTGTTTCTAAAATTGAAATAATGTATTCACACGCACACACACACACCACACACACACACACACACACACACACACCATATACTGTAACAGCTAGATAACTTGTATATGTAAAAAAGATCTCAGATTAAGCTGTTAATATTATCCCTAATCTGGTACACGAGAACCTGTCTATTGTACCTTAGACCCTCATTACAATTTTATTAGATTAGTGCAGTACACTGTACATGGATTTACAGGACACTGTTGGCCGTGTGATAATTGACACACATTCCTAGGAGTACATAGCACCAATACCACACATAAACTAATCAGTTTCCAAGTAAAATTTAAATTGGTGACACAGTGGTTAGAGTGCAGTACTGCAGGCTACTTCTGCTGATTGCCAGCTGCCTGCAATTTGGCAGTTCAAATCTCACAAGGCTCAAGGTTGACTCAGCCTTCCATCCTTCTGAGGGGGTAAAATGAGGACCCAGATTGTTGGGGGCAATATGCTGACTCTGTAAACATCTTAGAGAGGGCTGTAAAATCACTGTGAAGAGGTATATAAGTCAAACTGCTATAGCTAAAATTTTAAATGCTGTTTTTAGCCTACAATGCCCTCTGTGGTTTGGCACCTTTTACAATTGTAGGACTACCGACTCCTACCTGACCTTTTCTAATCTACTCAGTCATTCAAATAGCTACGCAAGGGTCCTCTTTAGTTCAGCATTCAATACCATCATTCCAGACACTCTTCTAACTAAGCTAAATCAGTTAGAGGTACCTGAACACACTTGTAAGTGGATCATAAGCTTCCTAACAAACAGGAAGCAACAGGTGAAGCTAAGCATAATTACATCAGATACCTGTACAATTAGCACAGGGCCCCTCCAAGGCTGTGTGCTCTCCCCACTTCTCTGTGTATACCAATGACTGCATCTCTAATGATCCATCTGTTAAACTACTGAAGTTCGCAGATGACACAACAGTGATTGGTCTCATTCGAGGCAATGATGAATCCGCATACATACGGGAGGTTGAACAACTAGCCTCGTGGTGCGACCGGAACAATCTGGAATTGAACACACTCAAAACCGTAGAAATGGTGGTAGACTTTAGGAGAAATCCTTCCATACTTCTACCTCTTACAATACTAGACAACACAGTATCAACAGTAGAGACCTTCAAATTTCTAGGTTCTACCATATCGCACGATCTAAAATGGACAGCTAACATCAAAAACGTCATCAAAAAAGCACAACAAAGAATGTTCTTTCTGCGCCAACTCAGAAAGCTCAAACTGCCCAAGGAGCTGCTGATACAGTTCTACAGAGGAATTATTGAATCTGTCATCTGCACCTCTATAACTGTCTGGTTTGGTTCTGCAACCCAGCAAGACAGACACAGACAGAAAAAACAATTGCTACTAACCTGCCTTCCATTGAGGACCTGTATACTGCACAAGTCAAAAAGAGGGCTGTGAAAATACTTACAGATCCCTCATATCCTGGATATAAACTGTTTCAAATCCTACCCTCAAAACAACGCTCTCGAGCATTGCACACCAGAACAACTAGACACAAGAACAGTTTTTTCCCGAATGCCATCACTCTGCTAAACAAATAATTCCCTCAACACTGTCAAACTATTTACTAAGTCTGCACTACTATTAATCTTGTCATTATTCCCATCACCCATCTCCATCCACTTATGACTGTATGACTGTAACTTTGTTGCTTGTATCCTTACAATTTATATAGATACTGATTGTTTCCTGATTGCTTATTTGTACCCTATGACTATCATTAAGTGTTGTACCTTATGATTCTTGATGAACGTATCCTTTCTTTTATGTACATTGAGAGCAAGACAAGACAAATTCCTTGTGTGTCCAATCATACTTGACCAATAAAAAATTCTATTCTATTCTATTCAGAGAAAATCTCCTTACTTCCATGCTCCCAAGAGACAAACTAAATCAGAGCTAGGAGGCACTGCTTTTCAATAATAATACCATTGTTTTGGAATAATTTTCTGGTGGAGATTATATTGACTTCCACTATGATTGCTTTCAGGAAGATTGAGCTATTTTAGAGAGTATTCTAGATATTTCATATATTATGCCATCTTTTATAGTTTTATTAAATAGTGTCAATTTTGTTATACGTGTAAATTTTATCATTTAGTGACTGAACCGTAATTTAAAATGTAGCATGGATGTTTAATTTATTCTGAATCTCGGAGCTTCCAAGAGTTATTAGACTATGGTTAGATAGAAATGCAATGAATGCATAACATTCCTAAGCTCATTCACATTGCACAGTGCTGCAGTTCCCAAACTTTGTCATGTCACCTAAGTCACAACAGCAAACTCACAGGAGCACCATGGGATATTTTAAATTTTAACCTAATTTGAATAATCGTAAATGCTCCTTTGGCATAAATAAAGTGCCTGTTACACATACACACACGTGTGTGTATGTGTGTAACAGGCACTTTATGCCAAAGGAGCATTTACGATTATTCAAATTATATATGTATGTGTGTAGACACATACATACATACATACAGGTAGTCCTCAACTTACAATCACAATTGAGCTCAAAATTTACGTTGCTAAGTGAGAAATTTGTTAAGTAAGGTTTACCCCATTTTACAACTTTTCTTGCCACATTTGTTAAGTGAATCTGGATTCCCCATTGACTTTGCTTGTCAGAAGGTTGCAAAAGGTGATCACATGACCCCGGGATACTGCAACTGTCATAACTATGAACCAGTTATCAAGCATCTGAATGTAAATCACATGGCCATGGGAATGCTGCAACGCTCATAAAATGTGAAAAATGGCCATAAGTCACTTTTTAGTGACATTGTAACTTCAGACGGTCACTAAGTGAACTGTCGTAAGTCGAGGACTAAGTACTACCTGTACTTAATGAAAATAATTGTTCAGTATTTCTTTTGCCCTAGGGGCACCATGAAAAATTTACTGAGGAAGCAAGGGTGCTGTATACCACCAAAGATTGAGAACCTCTGGCACAGTGACATCAATTATTGAGTGCAAGTGCACTTGGATTGAAAACAGGACAATTATAATATCATTCTTGTAGTACATTATTACTGCACTTTCCATATTACTCTACTTTCTCATATTTCTCAGCAGCCAGCAACCCCAACACGCACAATAGCAGCAACCCCTATTCAGTCACTTCCACAGAGCCAGACAACACCAAAGCGAATTGATACACCCAGCTTGGAAGAGCCCAGTGATCTTGAGGAGCTTGAGCAATTTGCCAAGACTTTTAAACAAAGACGGATCAAACTTGGATTCACTCAGGTAGGATCGCATTTCCATGTAGAAGGGATTTGGTCAATGGTATTCAGATCTGAGGTGCTTAATCACTTTTCCCAATTAGAAGTGGTTTCTTATTTCTAAATTTTTGCAATATTATTTAATTCATACTGATATATTTAAATAAGTACTTAGTGGATATTTTGCACCCAATTTCATAAGGGACTTTTGAAGCATAAAAAAAGAAAAAAGAAGACTTTTGACTCCTAAAGATAATGTGCTAACAAAGAACTTCTGGTTTAGAAAGAGCTGAGACTTAATATTATGGAGCATTGCATCCATAGATAAGGAGCTATATTATAAAAACATCTTCATAACTTCCCATAGAAAATCTCTTTGGTTGGATTAACTCATCTGTGGCAAGTTTTTAAGACATGACCATTTCTATTGCAGTTGTAAAATGAACATATTGTACTGTGTGCAATAAGTATCTCAGACATTCTACAATAATAGATTATTGAAAGTAGAAAACCATCTCTCACATGTTAAGTAGAAATCTTCTTACATCTGATATCCTCAACAAATTACTGTCTTTTTATCCTTGTAGGGTGATGTTGGGCTCGCTATGGGCAAACTGTATGGAAATGATTTCAGTCAAACTACTATTTCTCGCTTTGAAGCCTTGAACCTCAGCTTTAAGAACATGTGCAAGTTAAAACCACTTCTGGAAAAGTGGCTCAATGATGCAGGTAAATAGTTGTCTAGATTTTCTTCTAATTTCACAGCCGATTTGTAGAATTCGGAAATGTTTCCTGTTAATTTGTGGGAATATATCTGTAGATGATTTAATACATTATTCAAAAAAAAATGAAATAGGATTTATTAATAAAACTTGACAGATTTTTCAAAATAAATATTGTACAGTATGGGCTAAAGCTTGAAACTTTTCTGTATCTGTGCCTTATTTATAATAGTTTTCTGTTAAAAATAACCTCATAAGCATGGCATACAATTTAATATTCCTAAGACAAGTGTTAAAGAATATTTGGGCAAAAATACTGAGTGATGGACATCAAACTTTTATTCTAAATAAGGATATATGCCATTTACCACAGTGTAAGTCATACGTTTAATAAATAAGATAGTATATCTAGTTGTGGGAAGTTCATTTCATTCAAATTCTGAGTCTCCTTTCTTTTTGCAAGTGGGTGAGCTGCTTGTTTTGGTGGATTGGATTTATACATATGAGCTTCAGGTCCCAAACAATAGAATTTTGGAATGTATGTATGTTTTTACACAAGCACAATGGATGAAATTAACTTCCTTTAAACTAACTTCCTGCTTCCATTACAACTAATTACCATAATTAACTTTACCTTTTTGCAGAAAACCTCTCATCTGATTCAGCTCTTTCCAGCCCAAGTGCCCTGAATTCTCCAGGGCTGGGGATTGAGGGCTTGAACCGTAGGAGGAAGAAACGCACCAGCATAGAGACCAACATACGTGTGGCCTTAGAGAAGAGTTTCCTGGAGGTCAGTACTTGCACTGTATTATTCTGGGATATAAGATTTTATTGTAATCATTTTTATTTTTATTTTTAATTGATGAAATGGTGTGCAAATTTTCATACATGCACTGTTTTAGGACTTGTATAGAAAATAGGTCACACACAAACAAGTGTATCTTTGCATTGAGATATCATTTGCATTTTTTATATTTTAATGTTAATAAATAATTGAAGAAATTATTATAGAGAGAAAGAGCATAAAAGAAAAGAGCAAAAAATAGGAAAGAGATTTACAAGCAGTTTAAAATTGAATAAGAGTTTTCAAGGTAACATTAGATAAGCACTGGATACAAAGATAATTATTATATCAGTATAGTATTTCAAAACCATTATTAAAATAATATTCAGTAACTAACAAAGGCAGACAGTATAATAAGAATAATTAAACAGAATGAACTATTGGTAAAAACATCTAATTGAAGAATATCTATTCTTACTGCAACAATTCAGGCAAGATTTAATCATTTAAAACCTTTTGTTAAAAGAATCCCAAACTTAAGATGCAGTACTTTTCCATAAGCAAAATTAAGATTAAGTTAAATTCAATTCCATATCAGACTTTTTTCCCCAAATAAAAAGTTATTTTTTACACTGAGGCATGTTCACAATTTAGTCTGCTACTCTTTTAGATATGTAGTTTCCAGTGAGAGTCATATAAAGAATTCTAGCAGTTAAATATGAAGCCAATTCTAAATACTTTATAGGGATATAAATATTTGTTTTATTCTGTAATTAAGATATAATTTGTATCTAGCATATCGGTGGTACTTACTTCTTTTGTTGTACTTTTCTTTTAATATAGAAAGAAATATAGTTCCAAACTATATCATACAACATAAAATAGTCTACTGTAAATGGTTTTATCTTTCAGAACCAAAAGCCTACCTCGGAAGAGATAACCATGATAGCTGACCAGCTGAAAATGGAAAAAGAGGTGATCCGTGTTTGGTTCTGTAATCGGCGCCAGAAGGAAAAAAGAATTAACCCACCTAGTAGTGGTGGAACCAGCAACTCACCCATCAAAGCAATGTTCCCTTGTCCAACGTCATTGGTAAAAATTCAAAACCATTTGAATTGTGTTAGATTGGGAGATAATGTAACAATTCTTGCTACGATTAGCAAGAGGATGATGTTGATATTTTTGCTCTTAAGGATCTCAAAATCTGATACTTATGATAAGTGGACATTATTGTACACAGTTCAATTCTTATTTCTATTTTGTAGTTGAAAAAAAAATAGTTATGCACCTAAAGCATGCGACTCTGAATACTGTATTTAACTCTCTCTTTGTAGTATGTTAATATATTTACGTTCATTCTTCCACACACATCAAAAGATTAATGATTTTCTAAAGATAGTAAAAGACAGCTTGTTACGGTGAACATCTAAAGCTATATAGAAGTTTTCACTTGACTCCTTTATTCATTGGTGACATCCTTTTTTTAAGATTTCAGCTATTTTCTTTTGATCTGTAGGTGGCAACTACACCAAGTCTTGTGACAAGCAGTGCAGCTACCGCTTTGACTGTCAACCCTGGACTCCCTTTAACCAGCGCAACTGTAACTAGTTTGGCAGTCTCAGGTAAGAGGCCATTTAGACTGTAACTGCGTATAAAAGCTTGCTCTTAAAGATAAAATTATCATCATATCTATATACTTTATCCTGTTAGAGTACTTTACAAAGATGTATGTATGTATGTATACATGTATGTGTGTGTATACATATACATTGGGGCAAAAAAGTATTTTGTCAGCCACCAATTGTGCAAGTTCTCTCACTTAAAAAGATGAGAGAAGCCTGTAATTGTCATCATAGGTAGACCTCAACTATGAGAGACAAAATGAGAAAACAAATCCAGACAATCACATTGTCTGATTTGGAAAGAATTTATTTGCAAATTATAGTGGAAAATAAGTATTTGGTCACCTACAAACAAGCAAGATTTCTGGCTCTCACAGACCTGTAACTTCTTCTTTAAGAGGCTCCTCTGTCCTCCACTCATTACCTGTATTAATGGCACCTGTTTGAACTTGTTATCAGTATAAAAGACACCTGTCCACAACCTCAAGCAGTCACACTCCAAACTCCACTATGGTGAAGACCAAAGAGCTGTCGAAGGACACCAGAAACAAAATTGTAGACCTGCACCAGGCTGGGAAGACTGAATCTACAATAGGCAAGCAGCTTGGTGTTGAAGAAATCAACTGTGGGAACAATAATTAGAAAATGGAAGACATACAAGACCACTGATAATCTCCCTTGATCTGGGGCTCCATGCAAGATCTCACCCCGTGGGGTCAAAATGATCACAAGAACGGTCCAGAACCACACGGGAGGACCTAGTGAATGACCTGCAGAGAGCTGGGACCAACGTAACAAAGGCTACCATCAGTAACACACCACGCCGCCAGGGACTCAGATCCTGCAGTGCCAGACGTGTCCCCCTGCTTAAGCCAGTACATGTCCGGGCCCGTCTGAAGTTTGCTAGAGAGCATTTGGATGATCCAGATGAGGATTGGGAGAATGTCATATGGTCAGATGAAACCAAAGTAGAACTGTTTGGTAGAAACACAACTCGTCGTGTTTGGAGGAGAGAGAATGCTGAGTTGCATCCAAAGAACACCATACCTACTGTGAAGCATGGGGGTGGCAAAATCATGCTTTGGGGCTGTTTCTCTGCAAAGGGACCAGGATGACTGATCCGTGTACAGGAAAGAATGAATGGGGCCATGTATCATGATATTTTGAGTGCAAACGTCCTTCCATCAGCAAGGGCATTGAAGATGAAACGTGGCTGGGTCTTTCAGCATGACAATGATCCCAAACACACTGCCCGGGCAACGAAGGAGTGGCTTCGTATGAAGCATTTCAAGGTCCTGGAGTGGCCTAGCCAGTCTCCAGATCTCAACCCCATAGAAAACCTTTGGAGGGAGTTGAAAGTCCGTGTTGCCCGGCAACAGCTCCAAAACTTCACTGCTCTAGAGGAGATCTGCATGGAGGAATGGGCCAACATACCAGCAACAGTGTGTGCCAACCTTGTGAAGACTTACAGAAAACGTTTGACCTCTGTCATTGCCAACAAAGGATATATAACAAAGTATTGAGATAAACTTTTGATATTGACCAAATATTTATTTTCTACCATAATTTGCAAATAAATTCTTTCCAAATCAGACAATGTGATTGTCTGGATTTGTTTTCTCATTTTGTCTCTCATAGTTGAGGTCTACCTATGATGACAATTACAGGCCTCTCTCATCTTTTTAAGTGGGAGAACTTGCACAATTGGTGGCTGACTAAATACATTTTTGCCCCACTGTAGATATTGTATGATTGCATGTCCAGCCCTCAGTAATCTCTGGTACTTCACCCATTCTCCAGCAGTTTTCCAAGATAATGGCCAGAGGCTTTGCAAATCTACAATGCATTTCTTAAAACCTTAAGATGTAATTTATTTGAACTCAGAGAAGTGAATGTTTTGCATGGTCAATAATATATTTCCCCTGCTTCCATCAAACTTGAAGTAAAATATTTTTTTTCAACCAGCTGATCACAACCGTCTTGAGGGAAAGCATATCCTCTTCTCAGAGAAGACTAAGCAAAAACAGGAGTTGAGTTATTGGGTTTATTTTGGGTTAGTTGGTTAGCTGTTAACCTTTTGCCATATTTGAATGTGTCTGAATAAATATTTTTTGTTGTATTTAAATAATCTTTGTTAATGTAACTCAAATAAAGCTTCCCAGATACTTTATCTGGATAACTTACATATATTCTTCCTTGATTTTTACTAACCTTTAATGCATCCATAGGGACTTCCTCTGTTCCATTGTTTTTACTTTTAAGTGTCTTCTTTTATAAGAACTTCTATCCTTCTTAAGCTTCCTTTTTGTGTTAATATCTTTTGTCATAAAATCTATATACTGCTAGAATTCTTGTGTAATCTTTAACTGGCAGAAACAGTGCATCCTAGGGCAACAATGTTTGAACCAACGTACTTCAAATATGGTAATTTACAGAAAGTGTCCAAAATCTGGATGGGATTGAAATTTGGCAAATTTGTGGTCACATGAGTGCTGTTGTGTAGACCTGTCTTAGCCTTCCAGAGGCCAGATAAACCAGCTGTCCAGATAAACCACCTATTCCTTTGGTCAGCTATTCCTATCTAACTATCTAACAACAGGACAGTTGTTAAGCAAGGAGACTTGTATCTGCCCTGAGTTAGCCACTATTTAAATTCAGATTCTTACCCTTTTGTTCTACCAGAGTAACATTGGCTCCATTTAGCAATGTCTCATCCAGGTACTTCAAATATTGTATCATTTTAGGCACCACAGAAACCATACCCAACAATACCGCAACCGTAATTTCTACTGCACCTCCAGCTTCCTCGGCAGTGACATCACCCTCCCTAAGTCCTTCTCCTTCTGCCTCCGCTTCCACATCTGAGGCATCCAGTGCCAGTGAGACAACCACAACGCAGACAACCTCCACCCCCCTGACCTCGGCACTTGGGACCAGCCAGGTGATGGTAACTGCTTCTGGTTTGCAAACTGCAGCAGCAGCTGCACTACAAGGAGCTGCACAGTTGCCTGCAAATGCAAGTCTGGCTGCTATGGCAGCTGCAGCAGGATTGAATCCAGGCTTGATGGCATCTTCCCAATTTGCAGCTGGGTGAGTATCTTTAAAACTTGTTTTTAAAGTATCAAGTTAAGTGAGAGAACCTAGGGGTCATCACATTTCAGTACCTTTATCTAGATATATGGTGATTAAAAATCTACATATCTTGTTAATTCTCTGTTAATGAAAATACAACAGTATAACATTTGACATTTTTCCTAGTTTAAAAATATTTATTGGATCGTTGTACATATTTCTATCACTTTCTTCCTCAAATATTTACAATGTTATAGTAAGTTATTGTAAAATCAAAATTAAATAGTTTATTTAATAGATCTATTTCAGTTCTTATAGTTAAAATTCTAGAAAAAGATACATTTTGCCTTTAAATTAAAAACTCACCTATTTTTTTGCTTGTTTGGTTGTTTTGCTTTGCGTTTTGGATTTGCAGAGGTGCCTTACTTAGTCTCAATCCTGGGACACTAGGTGGTGCTCTCAGCCCAGCTCTGATGAGCAACAGTACATTGGCAACTATTCAAGGTTAGTTACTACTACACTATACTTTCTGTCCCTGTTAAGTTTCTATACTCTTTTTTTTCTGTTTCTGTTTTGAAAGCTGTAGATATTATGTATAATTAAAATGGAAAAGGCTAGTTGAAATAATTTAATGGGTTTATTTCTAAAGAAACATACATGAATAAAAATGTCTATTTCAGTCCATTTTAGGATGGAAGGCAACAAGCAAGCCTCTGATATACATGTTCACATATTAAATTACATAGCAAATCTTTGACATCTTAACTACCTTGTAACTTGCTTCGAGCTCAGAGAGCTTGTTAGGATCAGTGGTAAAACCAAAATACTTATATACAAGATTTCCCCAAAATGTTGGAAATATTGTAAAAGTGGCAAAGATACCTAATTGTCCTGCCTCTTAATTTCCTTACAACAGTCCTGTGCAGTAGGTTGGGCTGAGTGTGAGTGATTGGTCCAAGATCACCCAACCAGTTTTCATGCCTAAGAGATGCCTGGAATCACATTCTTGTGGTTTCTACACTACCACCTTAACTGCTACACCAAACTGGCTCTCACTTGTAAAATAAACAGTCACTTAAAATCCCCCTTCCATTTGAATTTGGTACATATTTAGAAGTAATATCTAAGTTTATTTGATTCTGAAGCTACAGATCAAAGATTTCTGAGGATATGAGCACAGTGATTAAAGATGATTGAATAGGCAATTCAAATCTCATTATGTGGTCAATTAGGCAGAATTGGCAAGTCAAAATACCCACACTGTGGCAAGATATCAAAAAGGGTTTCTCATCTCCCAGCTACTTGATTAGAGTTTAAGGATTCTTTGCCTCAATTTTGGAAGTCATCCCCAGTTTTTAGAAATATAATTTTGTGATTTTCATGATCTTTCATAATGAATCTAATGAACCTTCATTTTTCAAATTTGCATTTCCTATGTGGCAAAAATTGTAAATTTCCTTAAGTGGAAAATGAATTTGCAATGCAAATCATTAAAGAGACCTTAAAAAGAAGTTCTATTCTTTTCTTTTTTTTTCTTTTTTTTCTTTTATTTGTTTGCTTGTTGTATTTTGGGGAGGTGGCTGCATTAATGCTGATATTTATTATTCATTCCTCTTTTTAGCTCTTGCATCTGGTGGCTCTCTTCCAATAACATCGCTGGATGCAACTGGGAACTTGGTATTTGCCAATGCTGGCGGTACACCCAACATCGTAACTGCCCCACTGTTCTTGAACCCTCAGAATCTTTCACTGCTCACCAGCAACCCAGTTAGTTTGGTCTCTGCTGCTGCAGCTTCCGCAGGGGCCTCTGGACCAGTTGCCAGCCTTCATGCCACCTCCACCTCAGCGGAATCTATCCAGAACTCTCTCTTCACAGTGGCTTCAGCCAGTGGGGCTGCTTCCACCACCACTACGGCCTCCAAGGCACAGTGAGTTGGGCTCAGCTGTGCTAACCCTAGCCTGTTTCATGCTGCAGTGAGATTGGCTGGCAGCTGGGCTTCTGAACTGCAAATTATGTTTGGCTTCCTCATGCCGTCTTACTGGGGACAAGGGAGAGAAGGAAAAATATTAGAAACAGGAAAAAAAAACAGCAAGAAAAAGAAGGATTTAAAACTGGGACAAACAATTGCCTAATTTTATAAGAAACACTGTCTTTTCAGGATTGCTTCATTGATTGGAGAACTTTCTAACCAAAAATGTAAAAAAAAAAAAGGACTACTTATCATTTCCAGCAGTCTCAGTGACAAGTTAAGGTGGGTTATCAACTCAAACATAGGAATGGGTTTTCTTTTTTCTTTTCTTTTTGATCTGAATATCTTTTTTTAATTATCTTTTATTGGTCTGTTGTACAGGCCATAATGTCATACAAGATGTTTATAATCTTATCAATCGTGTTGGGGGTTCCTTTCTTAACTGGTACAGTTTAGGCAGGCCTGTATTACTTGTGAATCTCTTTATGATTATTATTATTTTTTATATAAAGAGAAGAAGAAAGTTTGGACACATTTCTCTTTGCTCCTGGAACAGTTTTAGTGAGCTCCCATGCCACTCAGAGGGAAGGCAGAAGAGAGGGAAGCATGTGAATCACAAATATTCTTTATAATTTCCTTGGTGGAATGTTTTATGAGATTCTCTCAGAAATATTGGCAGTTAAAATAAACATACTGAGGGTCATGTGCAAAGATAGTCTACACATGTAAGGTAGGAGTTTTGTTTAGACAGTGGTTTGTTCATCATATTTGGCCAAATCTTGCCCTCATTTGCACGTATTTGGCTCTTGTTGATCCAAGGGGGAAAGGATTTGGCCTGCAGAGTCTGTTTCAACTATTGTGGTGATGATTCTCTTATTTCCTAATTGCATGGAAATTGCCACTTTACAACTTTGGAAATACTTCTGTTACTTACTTTCTCAGGAGACTGCCTATATTGCTGATAACTCATATACATCCACTAAATCTTCCTACCAGCTGTTTGGCATAGGATTTCAAAAAAAAGGCCTGCATTGGCTCATTTTTAGATTTTTTTTTCCTGGAGTCTCTTGCTTTTATGATTGTATTAAAATTATTTTGAATTTAAAACATTTCTGTTCCAGAAGTAAACTGGGTCACATGAACAGGAAGTACCATTTACGCCAACACAGCCATAACAAGCAGCCTTGTAAACTTGTTCCATTGTAAACAGTCTGTAGTGTTTTTACCATTGCTTGCTGCTGTGGGAAATAGTGGTAAGGGATGATTGGAAAACAGGCCAACTTGCTGTGGAATACGATGAGCACTGGCATGTTGCATGTATTTTGCAATGTTTCGTGCTGTTTCTGGTTTTTGCTGCTAAATCATTTATGGCAGTAAACACCTCTACTAAAGAGTAAAACTGTTCTCAAGCATCAAGTAGTATGTGCAAACAACTGCTGACAATGGATGAGAGAGAGAGATGGAGGAAAGGAGACAGAGAAAATCTTATATTGACCTGAACTCATATTTTCTCAGATGAAAAAAAGTTGGGATCACTACCGCATAGCTGGCACATTCCTATCTCCTTGAGACAAATTGGAAAATATCAGAACTGTTCAATGTTCCTTTCTATTACTATTTGGAATATGGGGAAAAGGGATAAGGAAGTTCCTAAGATCACAAAGCTGCAATCCATTACTTGCCCCCCACAAAAAAATATTGTCTCTCATCAGCTAATAACAGAAAGAAAGTTCATTTGTAGTGCCATCTCTGATTGGTGACTCCAGTTTGCAAGCCTGTATTAACTATCAACTGACGCAAATCTGTCTCCTCTCCACCTGCTATCATGCTGCCTGTTCTCTGTTCATCTCTGAATCTTCAACTTCCTGATTCACAAGCTATTGAAATTTAAGAAATTATTTCCTAAAACTGAAAAAAAAAACTTGTGAACTGTTAAGCAGGGAAATGAGCAAATGTCCGTCCACCGTCTTTAATGTGTGTTTATTTTTTTTTGATGTTTTATTTTTTTAAAACTAAGCTTGAACCAAAGTCAATTTCTAGCAAGCTGCTGTACTAATGGACTAGTTTGTATAAGTGCAGTTCAGATGCAGAGAGGTGATAGATGCTACTGACAATTTCTTTTCATTTGTTTATTATTTTATGTAAAAATTGCTGCTTGTTTTAATCTTTTGGTGGGGAGAGGTTGATCTTTTTGTATATCCTTAGGGCAAAGTCTTAACTTGATTATTTTCTAATTTCCATGGTTTGGGGTGGGTAAATAGAATGACAATGGCAAATGCTTACTAATTTAGCTGATTCTGCATTCTCCTTAGTAGTTTGGATCAGTCTAAATCCTGGGATATGCGATCTCCATAATTCTAGTCTCAGAATACAATTATAATATTTTGGGTCAAAAGTTGAATTGACTTATAGCAACAGCATGCTGCAGTCAAAGTAGGTAAGAAGGCAGGACAATATTCAAGATGCTGGCCTATAGGCCATTATATTGACTAATTTCTACCAAAGGAAATATCAGTCCAGTAAATGTTCATTTTGTCCATTGAAAAAAGATTTTGCTTTTTTATACATGCACAAACACACAAATAATTATAAAAGCAAAGGAGGTAATGGTGACTTTTGATTGTGTTTGCTCACCCGTAGGCTTCAAACCAAAAAACAAAAAATACCCATTTTATAATCATAAACATTTCAAAGAAATTCAGGGAAATTAATTTGGTTTGTCTGCCTGTAGTTGATTAGGTTCACTGTTTTTTTGTTAGGTGTGAAGGTATGATATAGAGATACTCAGAATTCTAATTAGCTCAGATGATTGCTATAAAACATTTAAAATTATTTTAATTTGCTCATATAATGCATGAATCCAACATGCATTGTATCAACTTATTTATAAACATTTTTCAGACCTTTCCACTCTTCCCTGTGTCGTACAAATAGCCACACTCTTAAAAGGTGTTATAACTTATATCAGAGAAACTGGAAATTCAGAAACAGACAAACCAGCAATTGTTTGGTTGAATTGTAAGTTTTATATTTGATTAAAGTGGTTCAGTTATGTATTTGATGAATTATCAGGAGATTGCTACAAAATTTCCAATAATACAAAAATACTGGAGTTTTAATGGTTATCACTATTTATTATTTTGCCACCTACTTAGTTCTACTCAGTAATATGTATGCTCCATAAATTAACATATAAACATTATTGCGCAGTCTAAAATAATCAGCTTTACAATATTACAAATATTGTAATAGTTACAATTGATTTAAAACTTCAGCAGAAATCAGATGTGTACAATTGGAGAATCTGTAGGAATAAACAATTTGGAGGGCCAGAAAACACATACATATTCTAGTAGTTGGGACAACTTTCTGATAGTCACTACAAATGCAGTTTATGCACTCAAAAATATGTGCACTGTATACGTATCCTCTAATAACTAGAGACGATCACATATTAATCCTATCACTTAAGTTAATTACTTGAGTTAATTACTTAAGTTAATTGTGTTCCAATCTCTCAGTGTTCCAAAATATGTTACAATGATACTGTTCCCATTTCATAGCTAAGTTATTTTGTTGTCCTATTCATCACATTCAGTGAGACACAATTTTATAAGCCAAAATTTGCAATATTATTCTGGGACCTTATTACCTTATTTTACATCAATCTTCTTTTATCTGGTATCATAATTGGATCACCTTTCCCTTTGCCTCAATACAAAAATAACACTGGGGATGATGGGAATTTCAATCCAGTGCGTCTGGCGAGTTTCAGATTAGGGATGATTGCCATAAAAAATGATTGGTGATTCATTGTGGAACAGATAGCTTTCTATCCTAGTTTGTCCAGTCTTTGCAGCTGCAAATAATTTCTGAAAATTGAATAATCTATGTTCCTTTCAAATCAGGAGGAAACTTTTGATTATACTTAATGAAGCCAAAATGCCAGAATGTTAAAGGTTTAAAAAGAATGACATCTTGAAAAAACAAATCTCTTGACAAATATTTTAAGATACAGTCAGGTTGATCTAACTTGTGAGTATTTAAGGTCATTGTAAATACTTTCTGCAGTAAGTTCTTCCACCTTATAAAGTAACAAACGTATAACAGGTGTTGAAAATATTAAACCCATGAAGTTTAGAATTTCAAAATTGACTTTCCATTTTTCATTTTGATCATGTGATACCAGTTTATACATTATGGATTTCATGAACAGTGTTCATATATGCGACAAGCATCATATGAATATTTTTTTTAACAGTTTACTTTTGAAGAGCATAACATTCATGCTTTTCTGATGTATTATGGCTCCTTTTTGTTCAGGGCTTGAACTTTATGTAAGACTATTAAATGTAGACCTTTCCCTTTTTTTCCCTTTCCTTTGGAAATGTATAAATCTATCTATCTAGATCTAGATATATATATATATAGCAACTTTATTGAGACATAACTATTACATACATGCCAATAGACTGTCCAGATATCTTGTTGGTTCAAGAATGTCTTCTAGGCCACCTGCAATAGCTCAACCCACACTGAATTACATTGTTCAAATTGAAGAGCTAGATCTCCAAAAGCGTCATTTTAGCTAAGTTATTACTAGTCCATATTTCATTGGTTTTATTGTAAACATCTGGCAATATATAATATTGATTCTCTGGCCATTTGTAGCTTAATGCTTCAAAGTTAAGCTTATTGCTTAACGCACTGTAAGCCACCCTGAGTCTCCGGAGAAGGGCGGCATATAAATCAAATTAAAAAAAATAAAAATAAATAAATAAATAAATAAATAAAAAGCACCAGAAGTCAAGCCAAGAGGTCCCTTTCAAGTAACACAGGGAATGAGAGCCTATTATTATTCAGTTTGTTTTCGAGACATAGAGATTTTTCTTGAATACTGATACCTAGGATCTGTAGACTGACTATATATAAAATATGGATTATATATCTCAGATGTGACAGCACTGCGATGGGTGAACTCTCTCTAAAAGTACAGGACCTTTTTGCCATTTCTGTATATTCCGTATACAGGTTTATATGTTCAGTGGTTTTATTTGATGCCTATAGAAATTGGAAATAATACAGTGATCAATTAATACTCCCAGTATCTAAACAACCATTAAGAGTGTGGTCCACATTCAGGTTAACTTTAGTAACATGATGTGGCAATATAAAAAGGCAAGATGGATAGGAAGAATTCCTTTAGAGGAAAATGCAATCCCAGGTTACAGCTTACTTCTATCAACAGAGATCAGACCCAATCCCTTAGAAACATTACATGTTGGCCCAAGGATGTAGGCATACTTTGTGGAGGATACGATGCTTTTGAGAATTTTAATGTAGTGAATGAGGATTCAGGTGGCCAGCAGTTTTTGCTGTTGAGAAACAATGTAATCCCAAAGGTTGGATCCACTTTTTCACTTTCAGTTGCCAGAGGAAATAATGTTGTGCCCTGACTTGATAGAATGCATTAAATTGCATTACAATAAATGTAAATTTTATCTATATACTAGATAATTCAGCCAAAGATGGTATATGTCATTTGAAGATATAAGGAAGAGCAGAGGAATTGCAGAATTTCCAATGCTAGAAACCAGGCTTAAAATCCATCGTTGCCTTATTCTCCTTAACTTTTCTTTTCACTTATATATGATTTGTGGAAAGTTTATTCAGATAGTCATTTTTATCTGGGCTCTTTATTTTTTGTGTCTGTCCTGTTTGATATTTTACAACAAACAAGAATCTAGAACAATGTAAACTGGCTCTTTGTTAAAAGATATAGCCTGTATTTAATTCACTATCACTTTGATTGGCAATATTTTTTTATGTTTAATTCTGACAGCAAGGTATAATTTAACATATATTTGAGAGAAAAACATATTGCCAGTATGCTCTAATTTTTCAATCCAAGCCAAAATTATAGACTGGAAAGTTTTGCCAGGAAGCAAATGTGAGTGTACAGCCAGCAGTGGACAGGCTCTGAAACTCTGTTTGGCATTTGGAGGGGCAAGGGGAGTGGAACAGGACCACTAAAATATGGGATTTGAGTCAAATGAAATGTTACAGGGAATAAAGTAGTAAGCAAAGCATATATTTCTAGAACCATTTTTTCCATACAAAATGAAGCTTGCAAATGGTGAGCTCTGAAAAATATTCTTGAGGTCTTGCTTTAGGAAACACCCCCCCCAAATTAATCAATGGTTTCACATGAAAATAATGCAGTTCCCCTTGTAATTTCAAACACTTGAGAGACTTTGCATAATAAATATGTAAAATCCATTTCTGATCTAGTAATCATTTGGCAAACTGAAGGGATTTGATCTGGCCATCTTGCTTTTAGAGCTACCCAACTATATTGGTGGTACAAAAGTAAATACATGACTTTCTATTTTGTTACATAAAATGAATAATAAACCATGCTAGCAAACATATTTTTTTCAGTTACATTTACTTAAAATAATAATGTTAGCATTAAATTCCAATTCTCAGTATGATTCTCATACTATTGATGGACCAAAAAAATGCCATGAAAGAATATCCTTGACCTGACTCTTTCCCCCGTTTTATCTCAAAGGTTTGAAATGTTTATACCTAATCTGTGTATCCCTATCTGTGCTTTTTAACATATAAATCCTACAAGGATTTAAAACTTCATAAATGTATATAGGAAAAAGTGATCATAGTGTAAACACTACCAGATGAAAAATCTGTTGATAAGAGTTGTCTGTGACCTTAGGATTCATTGGCCAATTATGCAAAGTTACATTCTAGTATTCTTAAAGCAATACATTATTTTAAAAATTCAACTGCATAATTCTTGTTCTGTGCAGCATTGGGGCCAAATTTAACTTGTCAGCATTTCAGATGATTAGGTGGGAAAAGTTAAATCATATCCCTGAGTATTTAAGTTGGATTTGATTTCCTTTGTTAATGGCAAGAAGAGAAGAAACACAACTGTAATTAGTGCCAATTCATTGTCCTGAATTATTCTTACTGTATTATGGATTATTATTGGATTTTAACATTTTAAGTAGGGTTTTTTTTTATTGTCCACTTATTTTTTGCTATTGCTTTCAAATTCATGAAGTCCTTTTGGATCTAAATGGAAAATGAATTTTTCATTCTATTCCATATTTCTACTAGACTATTTTAAACATACACCATGCAGTACCAAACAAATTTCTATTTTCATGATATAGAAAGACATCTAAATCAACTGTTAATGAAAATCTGAAATGAAATCATCTTTGATTAATCCCCCACTCGCTGTCCAAATAACAATTTATAAATAGGAAGCTCATTTTTTAATTCTGGTTAATTATCAATAGCACATGCCAGACTTTTATTCCCTTATTTAAGAATATGAAGCTATTTCACACATTTAGATTTTTCCTCTATGAAATACTATATCCCATTTTAGGAAACTATAGCGTAAATATGCAGCGAACATTTACCTTTGCTCTGGGAACACAACCTGCATTTCTACTGCATGCACAGAGATTTGCTTTTAAGGCAAATTACGATGATCTTTGATTCACACTGGAACTAATGTAGCTTTATTATTGAGAAGGAAAATTATTTACGATGTTTAATGTTGCTGTATTTGTAGACATCTCCTGGCACATTCTGACTTCTGTTCAAACCTGTGTTGTTGAACTGAATGTTTGCTATATATTTTCTCACCAGGAGAGTAAAATGGAGACATCTTGACTGAAATAATTCGGAAGATCACTCTGTCCCTTCTCATCTCTTGTTTTCAAAGCAGGCAATGTTACAGAATTGTAGAAACAATGCCTTTGGTAGCAGCTGGTTTTCTGGCACCTTTAAAAAGATACCTCAGCATAGCTTTGTTAGTATTGTAAGCAGACTGAAAAATCAGGAGAGAGCATCTTTATAAATAGTGGAGGTAACTGTAGTAGTAGAGTTTAGTTAAGCTTCTGGAAACCCAGTGTATATGTATTTGGAATTCTGTGTTTTACAGGGATGGCGTTGGGAAGAAGCAAAGTATGTTGACTATGGTAGAAAGTAGGGGTGGAAAAAACATTTCAAATTGTTTCAAGTGTGAGACTTAATGACGCTGTTCTGAATACAAAACTGTTGCCCAAATGTTTTGGAAATTCTTCAGAATTGAAACAGGGCTTTGAGTTCAAACAGTTGTTTCAGGGTTGAATAATTGCAAAATATTCAAACCAGCCAGTAACTGACTCAAAATTGGAAGTTTTAACAAAGTTTTACACTTGAATAGCAAGTACACTCCTACTAGAAGTCAAATGTTGCTTACAACTTCCATCTCTCTCTTTTTTTAATTTTATCTTGCCAAAGGAAACAGACGCTTACTCCTAAATCTGGGATTCTTTGATTTTATCAATAATATTCAATATTTCAAACGACAGCATGCAGGTTACCAATTTGAGTTGCTATATTGTGTTATTTGTACACACAGCAAATTAGCAACCCATTTCAACCTGTGTAGTTGCACTAGGGTTATTTTTAAGCCAAGATGTTTAACTTGGGGATGGGAATGGAAGATTTCCATCTAAATTAAATCAGAAAGTTATGGTAAAGTGGTTGCTTTTTCCCACTCATTGATTGTAGTGTTTAATAATAAATACTTGTAAAATAATTTTAAAGTAACAATGTTAACCTTGTCTAGACCAAAAATTGCAGAAGATAAACCAAACTAAACACTAATCTTCTCTGAACACTTAAACATAGTGTACATGGGGGAAAGATGATCTTGTAAGATAGTCCTTGGGAGAAAGGGTTTCTTACTGAATAGATCATTATTCTTGTTTTAATTTTGCTGAGAGGCTAAGTCATTTTTTTGCAAATAATGCATATTTTGGTTTGAAGACTGAATTCTTTAAATTTGTCTATTCGATCCTTATTCTAACATATTCTTTAAAATAATGTTAGTGTGCATGTGTATTTGTGGGCTGGCATATTATTTGGGAATGAAGGACTTAGGTTGACTGGAGGAGAGAATTTCCAATGGCTTTTATGCTTAAAGGCACTGGTAATCTTTGCCAACTTTTCTGTTTTTGGAGTGTGTTAGAATTTTTTTAAAAAGGTGGTCTTAGAAGTTAATATTGATACCTTTTTTCTTTGAGGATATAGTTTATAGTAGTTTTTCTTCCTGTACAAATGAGCTTAATTTGGCTGATTTCATTGAGGACATATTGGAATGAAGAACTGATTAAAACAAAGCCCAAGGTCATAAGCTATTTTTTGGAAACAGGGAAACCTGAAATATTTAAAAATGCATTATCTTTTGGCACAGTTCAGATGTACTAGGTGATGTCTTTTTCTTTACATAATGGAAATGTTGGCGATAACTGTTGTTGTTTCTTTTTTACTCACCAGAAGAGCTTTCAATATTCTCACATGACGTGCTGTGGCTTGATTAACTGCAATAATCAAGTTCGACGTACGCTCGTATAAAGAAAGCAGTTGTGTAATTATATATGGGTTGTCCATTTCTTACTTTGTAAATCAGCTAGAATGCATAACCTCACTGAAAGCTTTAATAATAGATTTGGTGTTCTGACTTTATGTAAAGTGGTATTAATATTGTGTGATTTTCCTAAACTAGTTAGATTTATAGGTAGAAAATAGGAAAATACTCTCAAAGATAAGAGCACTTGGAACAAAAGATATTGAAAACGAGAGGAAGGAAATGAAACAGTTGGTAGGTGGGATCTTGAAAGAAAAATTCTTAATGGAGAGAACTGCAATGATTCTCTTCTGCCTTATTTCTTATCTTTGTTTGCTGAAGCCAAAATATTGACTTAAAGTCTGTTGTGAACTCTTCCTCCAATGTTTATTGTCACAATCTTCTTCTGACACACCAAAAATAATATTGCTTTTTCAGTGGGTAAAACCCATTAAAATAAGTTTTCCAAATAATTTCTAACTTTATTTGATATACCAGAACGTTTTCAGCACTGATGGTGCTGGTGATAAGAATACTATAAGTTATTTGATATATGTTGTAATGTATAAGTCTGCATTTAATTAAGATATACATCAAGCAAAGCTACTTTTTCAGTAGTTTTGTAAAGGGCATTATTGTGGGGGCAGGGAGCCATTGTTTGCCCTATATAATTCTTATTATGATTTTAACGCGTAAGATTCAGTTTCTCTAAACTGCAAGGAGAAAATACCATAGATATTGATATGGCAGTGCATAGATAACTCTACTTACTTAAAACTCATTGGAGAAGACTTGCACTTTTCTCTAAAATCCACAAGGCAAAAGATCGGGTACAAGAATCTTTCAGAGCATCATTAGACATTTTCACTCCTTGATCCTACCATGTTGGTGTTCCATTTCCTTTTTCTGTAATAGTATCTAAGGCTAGGTATGAATAGGTGTCGGATCTTTATCCGCCACAGGTACAGGAGCTGTCGTATACCTCATTTCTAACTCGTAACCGAGTAACTTGCTTTAACTTTCTCCAAACCCTACAGAGATGCCAAGTCTGCCACCCTTCCTTTAATTAGCATTGAACTCTGGCCTATAGCAAACCGTGACCTGTAACCTGGGGACAGATCCCCAAAAGCCTCTGAATGTTGCTGCTTAAAAGCTACTGCAAACTGAGGGCAAATTGCAATCTTTTATTTGTTTTGGTTACCGGGGGTCATCTTGTAGCCTTTGAATACCCATCTCTTTCCCAGCCTGTGCATGAAATCTGTATGCTGCCTTCTGCCACCTCCTGGCGAGATGTCAGGGCTCTTGTTTTCCAGGATCAAGCCAGGGCCAAATTGTGTGCATACATACCACTTTCTACCTTTTAACCTGTTGACTTCGTGTGTCACTCCTTTTCTAAAACATGTTCTTTTATTATTTGACAATCTTGTTCATTTGCCACCTCTTCCCTTTGGGCTAACCAGAAGCTGCATCCATACTCTTTCTACCATTTTAGTTTGAATGTACTTTTACCCACCCCTTTAGAAAGGGAAGCTTTGCCAGGTCACGGTGCCCTGCTATATGCTGAGGGGAGCGGTTTCTTTGTTTCGTTTTGTTCTTTTAAAAAATTCCAGCCAAAACCAAAGATTTCCTAATGATTGTATAAACTCAAAACAAACAAACAAACCAAAGACAAAGGGCATCTTCAGCACCAATCAAATCCGGGAAGCCATCTTTTCTGGGTGTGGAAGAAATGAACCCCAAAGTGGTTTTTGCCTTCCACTCCAAGATGCAATGGATGGCTTGATCTAAGGTAATGTGGATTTGGGTCAGCAAGGTAACTTTTCTCCCACTCCGTTTGGGATGCAAAGTACTCTTACAAGATTACAAATCCGAGGGGCATAGAGAAAAGCTTGGAAAAATTTGACTGAGCTTTATATATTGGTTGTGAAGCTGAAGACCTTGGTGCATGATTGGCTGCTCTGATGGGTCCTTTTAACCCTTTGTGAGCTGGGTGATAAATTGATTAATACATGCTAGGGTGCACTTCTGAGCTTCCCCCCTGCCACTGCTTGGAAGAGGCTGTCCTATTGTGAGAAATATCTGATTTTTTTTCTTATTTTCCGCTTTTTTCCTTTTTCTTACTTGTTCATTATTTTTGCAGCACCACTGTGCAACTATGCATTGTATTTCTCAACATTTTTGCTAGGTAGATGCCTATGACTTTTTAAACTTTGGGGGAGGGGGGGTTGCCAACGAAGGAACTTTTTACACAAATCTTTTAAATCTCAGTTGAGTAGGGGTGTTTGGTTCTAGGGTCATACAAGCTCTATCCCAAAGCAAAATCCAAATGTTAATAATATTAGCCTGATGCAGATACCAAAGATAATTTCTTTCCTGCAGAACCTTAGACTTGTGTATTAAGTACAATTACCCAGCACTTGCATTAGTCTAACCTCAGTAATTCCAAAGCTTAGATGTATATTTTGGTATATTTCTGGGATATTAAAAATGTGTTTAAATTCTTGTTTGTTTCTGTGTAATGCTCTTAAAAGTCATAGCATGGAGATAATTGATTGTCTTATTCTTAGTAGTTTGAAATAATAGTATTTTTGTATGTTTTGGGTGTGTCTATGTACGTATTAACACAATAGTTTTCACTGCCTAGGTGTTCATAATTGAGGAAAAATGTACATAATCTGTAATTTCCCTCAAATTGTCAATTTAGATTGCATTTTCTCTTATTGCCATTCTGAACAGAGAGCTCTTTTTTTTTTAAAGAGACAGCATGCTTATATGGGTGAAATTGAACCTTTGCTCTACTCAGAAGTCATCGTCCATTCATATCCAGAGGTGAGATAAGAAGCCAGGTAAAGCTGTTTACTAAAGGGTAATGCATGGTTCCAATGTCATAACTTTTTTCTGTTCATTATAAGAGAGTTATGTTGCCATAAGGCAGGAGTGGGCAAATGTGGCTCTTTTACAACCTCTGGACTTCAACTCCCAGAATTCCTGAGGCAGCCTGACTGTCTCAGGAATTCTGGGAGTTGAAGTCCACAGGTTGTAAAAGAGCCACATTTGACCACCCCTGCGGTAAGGCAATGGAAACATTGATTAGAAAAATGTTTATTACCCTTTCTCTTGCAAAACCTAGTATGTAATCTTTGTGGATTGCACAGCTTCATTTACATTGATGAACAGGTTTTTTTTTTTCATTGATTCTTCTTTTCATGATCATTTGTACAATTTAATTTGGAATGTATGTCAACATAAAAGAGTGGTTTACATATCCTACAACATTCATTCTTGCTTATGCTCAGTCTGAGACCCGTATCCTGAGGGAGATCAAAAGAATGCTGTCTCTTTAAAGATATCTTCTGTTTTTCCCCTAGTGGCTGCCTGCAGGCGGCTGTGGGCATTGAGAAACTGTAGATTACAGTGAATCAGGATGAAAATGGTAGGTTTTGTGTAGATGCATTTGTCTGCTGTAATTTTTATATATATGAGACTTACTGTAACTGTACAGTTCATTTCTGTTGTAAACTTCATTAAACCATTTTTCCAAGTGTTTTAACATCCATGTGCGTGTTTGTGATTTTTTAAAAAAAATACTAGAGACAAAATGAAATGCCAGCATCTATTTTCTACTATCTTAAACTAACCTTACATTCTGCCAATTGTCATTTGTTTTCTCAGTGAAAAGCAAAAACTGGTAGGCTTCTCTCTTGTCTATATTATAGTCTAAAATAATATACAGTATTCCTGGTAACTGGTTATGTTTTACAGTGATTTTCCACTTTGAATTGAATGTATACAAAACTCCGTTTCCTTATTTAAAGGAGCCTTTTTTAACCTGATACCCTCTAAATATACTGGACTACAACTCCTGTCTTTCCTAGCCTGTAACAACAGCTAATCCATTATCAAAAGATGTCAAGGCAGAGTAAGCTACTAATAAGTAAGAGGATGAAGATACATTTTGTATCTTTGTACACATATATGCAGTTGTGCATAATAGAAAAAAAGAGTTTAGAGGCAGTATTAAAATTTGTATTGTTTATTAATTCAGATGTGCTCCTATTTGTGCAATCATAATAGCTAATCTAATATTTAATATTATCTTTTAACTTTTTTAAATTGTTGCCTTTTAGGTTTTTAAACACTGGACATCAAGTTGACAGTTCTTTTTTAAGATTATTTCAAATATTAACATATCTGATTTGATTTCCTTACAGAGAAGTATTTGTGATATGTGCTTTTTTAAATGTTATTAAATACATTAGACTGTCTGGTATAGAATTTCTGTAGCATTAGATGGATTGAATGAACACCAACTGCTAGCCTATCCAAGAGATACTAACAAAGTATTTCCAAACTTTTTGAACTTTAGAAATGTCATCAACACGTCCAGTTTCACAGTTTAGAATTTGCCATATCCCTGAGTCTTTTGAACTTGATAATATACATACTCACCTAACATTGGATAACAATATAAAAACTGCTGTGGTCAGAATTCAAGCTGCCAACTCCCAATTCTTTGACTGAACATCTCAGTTCCACCTAATAGTGAGTGGAATACATAGCAGTCCAGAGTATGGTTATGGGGTAGTATTCTCAAGTATGAGTTCTTTGCTTACTTTCAGTTAGGTTTTCCTGGATGTATTGCCTCTTTTACCAAGCATCTTTTTAAAGTTTTGTTGTATTTTCTGTACGTGATATAGAGACGAATTCAATCGACTCAAATCCTAGGGGGGGAAATGAGGCAGGTAAGCACAAAGAAGATACTCCAGGGAATTTGAACCTTTGCAGTGTATTTACTCCCAGTCCTCATTGTCCCTAATTTTACTCAAACTCTCATTTCTCTTATTGATGTGTAACCCAGTTTTATTTTACTATTGTAATGTTATTCTGGTCTGTGTCTTTAATAAAAACTTTGCTTTATTTGGGAGCTATATTGGACATGATGTAACTTCTGTGCAAGCATTCCTGTTTTAAAGCTGGTGGCCCACTGTGGTTCTGAGGGATTTAATGATCTCGTCTTTCGTGTTCCCTAAAGTTCCTATTCCATTTTACTTATTTAATCATTCAAAAATTATGTTGATTTTTTAACACGGACATGCTGCATAATATCAGTCTGCAGCATCTTTATTTTCTAGAATTACTTGAAGCCTACATGCATTCTATAAACTTTAAAAAATAGAAGTAAAGGCCAGCTACTGCATACCAGTGTTTTATTTAGAAATACACTCACCTGCCCAGAAAAAAAAGGTAAGCACAGGTAATGCATAGTATTCTACAGAGGAGAGAAAGAAGCATTACAGCTACAGTAGAATGTTTTAGGTTTGACCAATGGTTAGCTTTCTCTGAGCTTTCCTGCCATATAGTGATCTGTTTTTTGAAGTCTAAATGTGGTAGCACCAGCATTGTTGCTAAGTTGTCTAGGGCTGCCATTTTGTTAGGAATATCATATACCAGTTATTGGTTATCCTATATATTGCAGCTGATCAACCACTAGATGGCAGGAAGAGGTTTGGTGGTGTTTTTTTTTTGTATCTGCTGCTTCAAATGGTCCATATTTTGAAGTTCACATACATTACTCTATACTGTAAAGGGAAAAGCCTGTCAGCACCCATTTTCTCATGGTGTCCAAGATACAATCTCCACATTCAAATTATATCCACAAGCGCCAAAGGTAGGCGGGCACTCAGCTGGAGATGATGAAACTCCCATGCAAATTCCCTGGTTTCCTTCCTTTCAGGCCTTCACAGTTTTATTAGACTTCTTAAAATCTGATCAGTATTAATCAAAAGAAAGCTCGTTAATGGATTCTGGTCAAGTTGTAAGCTTTTGTATTCACTGTAGTTAATATGTGTTGAAGTATGAGATACAGCCACTAGGAATAATGTACATAATGAAGCAATAGCCAATATACTTAATCATTACTTTAATAATGAAAAAACAACATAAGCTGTACTTGACCACTTCTTCATAGCACAAGACTATTGTTATGATTACTATTCAAAAGTAAGACTTTTGTTCTTGGACAGAAGCAATTCTAAATCAAAACTAGTTTTGGTTGCTTTATTAAATATACTTATAGTTCTGTGTCCAGTTTTTTGTTCATTGTGGGGTGTTTTTTTTTTTTTTGTATTTTGCTTACAAACATCATCCAAACCTAATAGTAATGGCTGTTAGCTTTTTGATGCTAAAGAAACTTACATTTTGTGGGAAATGATCCAAGCTCGTGAACAGAATTTTCAGTTTTCTCATACACTGAAATTCAAAGTACCATCTGAACAAATTTTTCTTTTGTATTCTAATCTTCAATATAAAAGATATTTGCCTTCAGTTAAGTCCTGAACTATTTAATGATTTGAGAGTTATCAATTTAAAAAATGACAATTCTTGTCATCCTTTACCACCAGCCCTGCTGGTATGACTGATAGATTGTACAGTAATCCAAATTCCTGGAGAGTGATGAAAGATTCCAAAATATATTCTCCCCCACCCCCAAAAAAAGTTCCCCAGCTATCTTCAATTAAAAATACCTTAGAAAACATTTATAGGGAAAGAAAATATTTTATTTTTTACCTAAGGAAGAAAAATATTTTTGTTATTTAACTATCCAGTGAAATAGCAATCACAACTTCTGCTCCTAAATCTAAGCAACTGTACATTAAGCAGAATCTTTAAACTTATGTACATTTAAAAAAAAACAACCTAGGATGTTATTTGGAAATGAAACATGGGTTTTGCTGACTGTACAATAGCATTCTTCAAACAAGGCAATGGCTTTGCTGAAATGAACTGTCCTCTTTAACTGCTACCATTCCACCATAAGGAATGTTCTTTTTTCTCTTCCTTTTTAGGTTCAGTAGTAACTAACGAGGAGAATGCAGCTGCTTCATTTGAAGGACATTGTATGTGTCCTTTGTTGCTTGACTGAGCCCCTGATAAAGAGAAAAGATATGATTGGAAAACAAATAATTAGACTTTATTAACCATAAATTCAGATTCAGTGTTCCTTGTAGCCAGAGTATTAAAGCTAGGGTCTAATAGCAACATTTATAAGAAGAGAAGAATTCAACGTTCTTAACTAGTTGCTTTGTCCAACTTTCTTGCAAGCAAAGGCTGGCAATAGGAACAAAAGGACTTAGAGAATGAAGGGAAGATAAGAACAGTGGTTTGCTTTAGGCAGATCTCAGTGAATTAAGAATTAAAGAAATTACAGGGAGGGGTTCTGCTGTTATCTTACCTGATAAAGTTTATCATTGCCTTTGCCACCAAGTTTCTAGAAAAAGAAAAAGCCAAGATTAATAACCTTCAGAAGAGGAGTCAAGCAGTTATTTAGTCAGGAATCTCTACATAGGCACAGGAGAGCATGGTCCGATCTCTCCCCTTTGAATGTTGTTAAACCTTACTTAGTCTAGTCCAGGTGCAAACCACCAGTCTAATCTAAGAAAATTCTTGTATTATGGACACGAGCAATAAAAATAGTTAACTCTTGTGCGGGGACAGGCCCAACTTTAGTCATAGGTTGTGGACTACCCCACAATTTAAGCCAACTGACACAGATGCTATGGAAAAATTATATTCAGAGAACAAATTTGTTTTGTTTTGTTCAACTATGGTAGATAATTTTATGTTGATAAAGACAGATTCTCCATAGCTGGTACTTTCTGCTATATTGAATTAATACTATCATTATTCTGCATTATGGAATTGTGGTTCAATGCAGCTTAAAGCAGGAGGCCCCAAGCCCCGATCCATGTCCCAGTACCGGACCATAGCCTTTTGGGAATTGGGCTGTGCAAGTGGAGGGCAAGCGTATGAGCACATGAAACTTCATTTGCGCAAATGGCATGCACAAAACTGTTCCCTCTTTCCCCTCCACAGCTTGTCCATGGATCCGGGAAGGTTGGGGACCACTGCCTTAAAGCATAGGACTGAAAAAGCTTGAGTAGAAATGCATGTATAAGATTTGTATAGATGCCCATTTTAAAACACAATTCTGGGTGGCTCACAACAACAAAACCCTGAATTACAAAAACCATAAAACACAAAATCAAACACAATCAAAACCCAGCACCTCACTCATCTTCTTGGGATACTCCAACAACCAATTCAGAACAACTACACTCTACCTCAATTTATTTTTTTTATTTATTTATTTGTCAAGCATATATAAGATTACAGATAAGAGTATAAACATGATTATGAATACATGAAATGTATAAACATGATTAGAATACATGAGATGGTTACAAATAAAAGGGATTAGGTCAGGGACGGTAGGCATGTTGCTGCACTTATGCATGCCCCTTACAGACCTCTTAGGAATGGGGTGAGGTCAACAGTAGACAGTCTAAGATTAACATTTTGGGGGTTTGGGGAAGAAACCACAGTCAGGTAGTGCATTCCAGGCATTGACCACTCTGTTGCTGAAGTCGTATTTTCTGCAGTTGAGTTTGGAATGGTTTACCTTAAGTTTGTGTCTATTGTGGAAAGCCATGTATTGATGTCCTTTCAGAAGGCTAAAAGAGAATGGGCCTGCCAGAAAAGGCACACTTCAGAGATCCTACTAGATGGCAACAATTCAAGGAAGGGACCTGGAGGTATCTTCCTATCTGATAGGCAAAAATACTCAGGGACAGGCCGGCATGTAAGACATTAAAGGTAACAACCAGCATCTGAAAGAAACAGGGAGCCAGTGCAACTCATATAACAAAGGATAAGCCTTAAAAGTATCCACTCAGTCCAGAGAAGTGCAACCCTGCCTAGAGTCAACAGTGACAAATTCATGGATGCAGCTACCTTTTGTGCATCTAAAATGATAGAAAATATCACTTACCTCTCCTTTCTTTCCAATTTCACTATATGCTTCACCCATTTTATCCCGCTGTAGGGACTAGCCATGGAAAACAATAAAACAGTATTGGTGAAAAGGAAACTAAGAAGAATCCGTTTTCTCTAGTGTCTTTTCTTACATATTCTGATGTATTTGATTAATCTTTTCACTCTGGCCAATATGTCCTTACTCTTCCTAGGCCAAATTGTAAGAGACATTTCCAAAGATGTAAGTGTTTATGATTCATAAACACAAAAAATAGACTGGTTGATTTTTATATACTTACAGTATACTCCTTTCCATCGTGTGAAGAAGTAGTTATGTTACATCCCAGCATAAAGAATTATCTTTTTCAGAACCTTATTCATAAAACTCTGGGAAACGTTGCATATGAAGACAATTTCTTTCCAAACACAGACACATATATCCTTAGTAGATAATTAAGTAAACTATAATAAGTCAATTCTGGAATCTACTCACAGTGTAAACTTTGTCCTGAGGTTTCTTTCTTCTGCGCTAGAAAGAAAGAAAAATTCTCCCAATCATTCTAATATATACCAAGTCTGAAAACATGAGAGAAGGCAGGGTGGGAGAGCTGACAGAGAAGTTACATCAAAATCCCTTGCACAACTCTGTCATAACCATTAGAGAAGTCAGTTGTAGATCGATATTATTCATTCCTCAAAGCACAAGGGGGTCATGGTCTTGGGGCTTCCTCCACTAAGCTATGCTTATATGTTTTGTGGCAATTTCCTGCACAGAAAAAAATGGTGAAGATACCTGGTTTTCCACAGCCATTTCAAGATCTGCATCTGTTTTTTTTACAGCCAGAGAATCATATTCATCTCTGCGTCCGGTAGATAGTTTCTGCAAGAGAAGAAAAAAAGATGCTACTAGCTACAAGGTCCTTTTGAGTTAACCAATTTTCCCTAAGTTAAGGATGGGTAACTGACAGGATGAGAGAAAATAAAACAAAACCTAATCATCTTTATTTCAACCAAGCCAGAATTTAGTTTTAGGTGAAGCACTACACAAAATAAAGTTAAAAAAAAAGACAAAGTAGATGAAAACATCAGTAAACAGAATATTCAAAAAAAAATAGTGTTTAATCCCATACCCCCAACCCCCCCTATTTTCAATTATACTTCAGGTACATGAGCATCTTCATACATACAAACATATTTGTAGCAACACTGTTTATTATGTAGTTTTCTCATTTTATTTAATCTTTGTAGGATCCCGTCTTTCCCATCCAAGGATAAATCTACCACACATTTAAGTGTCCTCTGTGCCTTTTTATCTACCTTATCCCATTACTCACATAAAATTGGAAATTTGTCTTCAAGTTGTGACCACAATTGAGCCTAAAATTTATGTTACTAAGTGAAACATTTGATAAGTGACTTTGCCCCCTTTTACGACTTTGCTTGCCACAGTTGTTAAGCGAATCATTGCATTTGTTAAATTAGTAATCCAGTTGTTAAATTAATCTGGTTTCTCCATTGACTTTGCTTGTCAGAAGGTCCCAGAAGGTGACTCCAGGACATTGCAGTCATCATAAATATGAACCAGTTGCCAATCATCTGAATTTTGATCCGGTGATCATGGGGATACTGCATCGGTCATATGTGTGAAAAAGGGTCATAAGTTACTTTTTTCAGTGCCGTTGTAACTTTGAATGGTCACTAAATGAACTGTTGTAAATTGAGAACTGCCTGTATAGAACTTCTCATGAACTGATTTCATCCCTAACCCTGCTCACCCATTATTCTCACTTTAAATAGTAAATGTTCATTATTCAGCTATAAAGTTATCCCAATGTCGTTTGAGGACAGGTGGTGGGGTGGGGAGGTAAGCATACAAAGTACTATTTAGTGCTGCCTTAAACCTCTTATAATATATTCTGTGAACCTTAAGCAACCATGTGATATTAAAAAGGAAACCAAAGCCACCACATACAGAGTTTTCATAGCAGCATCCCTATATGGGTGCCACAGTTTTTTTGTTTTTTCTTCAGCAGGACTTAGACCGTTCTTCTAATGGATAATTAAATATTGGGGGATGGAATTTTCAGGAATATAGTGTTTTGCAAGTGCTTCTTAGTTGGAAGTGTTCCTTGCCAAATGTTTTGGTTTGAATTCCTTACCATTGCTATTCTATGAATCCCAATTGATGTGAGTAAAATCTAAAACATTGGCAGAGTTCTCTCTTTCTCTTTATCTATCTATCCGTCTAGAGCAGGAGTGTCAAACTCGTGGCCTGGATGTGTCACACGCTGATCACAATCACCCCCGGTTTAGTGAAGGGGGTGACCATGTCGCCGCGACTTTGACACCCCTGATCTAGAGAGAGAGACAGAATGTGTGTCCTTCAGAAAGCCTATTGAATAAGCAAAATCCTATATCAAGTAAACCACTACAATTACCTTAATTAAAAATTAGCTATATAACTATGGCCTGGAGGTTCTACTACAGTTGCATGCAAGAACCTCCCCATCCTTTAGTTTTGCATTTGGTAATTTTGGAAGAAGACGGTAGTAGGGAATTCCTATACTATACTAAAAGGAATCATTTTGACTTGCTCCCCTGACTAAATCACATTGGATTCTACAGGCAGACTGATATTTCAATCTTTTCCCTTGTATGTTGTCTCATCACTTTAATTCATTTGCAGCAGTGCTGGGTTCTATAGAACCGGTAGTAAAACTGGTGGGAGGCTCCGCCCACTGACACCTACATCATCAGAAGTGATCTGCGCATGCGCAGAAGCAAGGCGCGATCCCGTTGCGAACCGGTAGTAAAGGTAAGTAGAACCCACCCCTTATTTGCAGATGTCAGATTATATAAGAGACATAAGAAACTCACTACTTACGTTATATATGTCATTTGCATTTTGAGAAGGTTTGGATTCAGTGGAGCGATTGCCTAGCTGGAAAAAATATGGACAAACATGTAATATATGAGCTTTTACTCACAAAACTGCCCATTTCTATTCCAAAGGCCACTAGGGATTTATGAAATAGTGAGAGTGTATTATTGAGCCTTCAGCTAACGCTATATATTAGCTCCTCCCAAATGTACTGGAACTGCATTTCCCAGAATTCCCTGCAGGCAGGACACCAAGTTAAGGTAGGCTACTATACTTTCCTTTGTTTCATTTTTTAAGATTTCTTAATTCTGGTTTTCTCCATAAAACACAAGCTCATTGTTAAAAGTAGCAATATCGAACAAAACAAAAATAAAACAGTTGTTCCAACTCTTCAACTCTTATTTTTAGTTATTCGCTATTAATAATTTCCCACCTTTTCCAAACTGTTTACAAACAATATCTGCCTAGTAGTCTTCCCAACTGAATATGTCTCCTCCCTGAAGTGGAACTTCAGCTTCCATAATACTGCAAGGCACTGTGGCCCCTGCAGGATGCAATGCAATATAGCTGGGAAGCACAAGATTGGGAAAAGTGATGTAAATCTGCAAAATCTGAGAGCAAGAACTAATAATAAAGAAACATTTTGACTGGGTATTGAACTCTGGGTTAAGATACAGAAGGATAATCTTTCTATATTAGTTATATGACAACACTGCAGTGTTGCAAAACTGTTGCAGTGAAAGTTGATTTCACGGAGGAACCTCTCTTAATTTCCACTTCTAACGTTTACATCAACGTTCAAACATACAAGTGAAAGGATTAAGGTCACAGGGACCTTTTTTCCTTCAGGTTCCTCTGGTCAGACTGTGTGTATGTAAAAATAAATAAATAAATAAATCTCTCTTTAAAAGATCTTACCTTTACTTTCATGAAAAGGGCTGTGATGATGATAGCATATATTAAAAGGATCCCATCTAGAATGTAGCACAGCTTTGGATCTGTTAATCCCAGTGCATCAGCATCTGTTTTTTTTTTTAAAAAAACCAAAAAACTCCAATAAGTCAGTTCTACAGAGAAAGGATTTAAAACAAACCAGGAGTTCAGCCTTCCATAAACTAATGATCTCAAGATTACAATTACTACTTTCTCAATCAGCAGGCCTATTGCTTGACGATTTTTAAGCAACTTCCATTTTTGTCAACTCATGGGGGAATCAGAAAGTTACATATTGCCATGCATGTTTTACAGACCTGGCTATTCGTAATAAAAAAAAGTAATTTGTTGTTGAGGTAATATAAAGCCCCTCATTGTTATTATTTTACATAACAATGGTTCAATGATTCTAGAATATCCAGGCTCCCCAGAAAAACATCACACTAAAATTCCAGTAAAATTAATGCACCATAGATCATTGCAACTAATTTGTCCTACTGGACAAGGGTCATAACCGACGCCACCTTTTTTCAAGACTTGGCCCATGTTCTTTATTCCAAACACAATTGAGGCCACCATTTAATGACTCAATAATACTATATACAGCAGAAATAGACAATCTTATTTTAGCCAAGGGCTATACTTGTCTTTAAGTGATATGTTAAAGGCTGGTCAGTACAGTAAAAAAGAAAAACTCAAGTTGATTACATATAAATACACTTTAATTAAATATTAATCCTCTATGTAATCATTTTCTCTTTTTGTGACATAAAAATTATAGTTCTCCATCAGCTTTAAGAGGCTCACTCAGGATTTTGTTTTGCTCCCTAATCTAGAAGTATTTCCATATTTATTTATCATTTATTAGATCTATAAACTGTCTGTTTTGTTACTGAGAGATCTCTAAAACAAGCATCCAGTATCTAAAGATATTCCATTATATGCTGCAGTATTCCTCTTCATCTTGTGGCGTGATTGTAATATTTGTCTTGGACTGAAAAGACTCAGGTTTATGCCTCTCCTTTTTCACAAAGGTCACTGGTTGACTTTGGATCAGGATTCTCAGCCAAAACTACTTCACAAGACTGTAATTATAGAGATAAAAATAGAGGACATCTCAACATATGCCACCTTGAGGTTTTTAGAATTTTAGAAATGTTTACATCAACTACATTGAAGAATAAGCATGCCAAAGACCAACTTTCTCTTCTATTGGTACCACAGCAACAGTTATTCAGCACACAAAAGAAAATAGCTATATTGGATATTCTTCACATAGTCAGTGGTTATCTTTGCAGATCATGCAAGCATGATTAAATACATAAACTCCAATTGATTCTGTTCGCATAAAATATTAAGCTATAGCCATGATTTGCAAACCACAGTGGTGGAATATGTGTACATGCTGAGTCACAAACTCCATATTATTTATAGTGTTATGAGAATCCATCTTTAATTCATTTCTTTTAGAAAAATAGAACTCGATATTCCAATGTCCAACCATCCCCTATCTTTGATATTCTTTGGAAAGTGTAGCCTTATTTTTAGTTAATGCGGCATTACCCAATTAAATAAGCAATAAAAGCACTAAATTAAACTTTCAGTTATGTTAATCAGCCAACATTTTTCTCACTTGATTTTTTTTCACTAATACTATTGGTCACTGGGAAAATGCTTTGAAAAATATTGTCCACTGGAATCAGTGTAGATCTCGGTATACTTTTTACCGTATTTTTCAAACTAAGGGCCACAATTGGTTTATCAATAATATGAGATGTTCTTACTCCTAAGATAAGATAGGTGGGGCTTAAACACAAAGTAAATTTTATCTAATTGAATGGAAATTTAAATTAAAAACCATGCAATTGCTGCCATCATTTTCATATATGTTGAATAGTTTTTCCATTTTGTCGTGTTAAAATCTAATTAAATGGAAAGTTTCAGAGGAGCTTTAGAGGCTTATCCAAGGTTTTGGGATGAGAGCAGCGTCTTATGCAGCCTCACAAGTGCGCAAATTACACATCCCTGGGGTAGAAAATGCTAAACTAGATGATAAAAAAGCTTTTATCAGGATAAAGCCGTTTCCTCTGTTCCATTTCTTCTGAGCCAGCCACCTGCCTTGTGGTTTTCTGAATTGGTAGGTTCATTTAGGCACGATTCTCAAAACTGCCTCATAGAAACACCTATTATCATACTGCTATGTTGATATAATATAAGCCTCTCCTCACTGCTATTATTTTTGGTATAATGATGGTTCAATGGTGCTATAGGATGCTATAAAATCAATGCTGCATTACTTTGCTTGAAAGGCTGCCACAAACTCATTTTCGGAACAAACATCTGAATGGAAATATATCTTCAAATCTGTATTTAATCAACTAATAGACATTTCCCATTCTCTTAGATAAATATGAATCTGGCATCAAAGTACTCACTGATCCATTGGGATGAAGCTCATGCCTCTTTTTTTTAATGAAGGTCATTAAATTGAATAAAATATCACCTTGAAGGAAACTTTATATGCTATAGTTAAAATGGAGTTCAGTTTGACATCAGCACAGAGTTCCCTTAATTGATTGTGGTATGCAGTGTGGTTACTCAGAAATGTTTTCAAACCTCTTTTCAAGACTGACAGCTGGGGCTCCTTCCTGCAAGGTTTCTTTTGCTAAGTTTCTGTATCAAGATTGTGTGTTAGGCCAATGTAGTTCTTGGGCTGAGAAAGGGGGCAAATTTTGCAACGGTAACTATATTAATACAGTCTGAATTTCAGGAAAAAGGAAAACAGATGGTGAAGAAAGGTAGGTTCACTCTCCTCCTAGTAGAGAAATACTCTTACAATATACTGAAATCTTCATAGCAAAGATTGAGTATCCAGCAATCACGCAAATCTGGAAGAAGGATTATCCACATGCCTGTCACCTAGGTTTGCAAAGGTGTGCAGTAGCAGCTATCTAAATGTTTGTTGACAACCTGGAGCAGCCTTTCCTAATTAGATTCTCTCCAAATTCATGTCACTTCCACTTCTTTTGTTTTAACAAAAAATGTTTAATAAATACAAAGATTTCCAGAGCCAAGACATATTTCATTAATATACCAATGTTACCTATCCCATAGGCTGATGTAGCTCTAAACAGGAGCAAGGCAAATACTGGTCCCTATGAAACTTCACAAAGCAGGAACTGGACTTCTTTCTGTAATCAACACTGATTGGACTATGCCCAAAGGAAGAAAAATAGCATAATACAATAAAATCCACTCCCAGACTCTGAAGCCAGTTCAGGATATCATGAACAATGGTATCAAAAGCTGCCTATAGCTTCTCACAGTCAAGAAGAGAAATGGATATACCCCTTCCATCCTGCTCGCACCACAAGCACTATGGATGCTCTTTCAGTCTCATCCGGGTCTGAATCATAACTGAAATGGTTCTAGAATACTTTGAAGCTGCTGCATGGCCAATTCTCCAAAACCTTCCCCAAAAATGGTTGAAGGTTGAAATCTGGACAAAAATCCCCAGTACTGTTGGGTATTATAACAATTTCTTGAGGGGGGGATGAACCAAGAGATGGTGGGGGAAAAAACCTTTTCAAGGAGGAATTCACCACCACTAAAACCCAATCACACATCATCTTCAGAAGGACTTAGCCAACCAAGACAGACATGGATCTAATATCCAGATGGCCAAACTACAGTAACAATTATGAGAATCCTTAATCTTACTGAGATTTATTTCCATTCAAGGAAATGTGAAAGTTGTATTCTCGTTCATTAACCCTCAATCAATGGTTCTTGTTTGGGGGCAAACCTACATTTCTTGTCCATGTTCAGAGTTTCCTTGGATTAAAAAAATATATACTGACAATATTCCACCAGTAATATATGAACTTTCAGGTCTTCTTTGTATATGTACCCTCACTGAAGTTATTATGCCAGAGTATGTCCTGTTAAACCTACTGTGAGAGGTGATAGACCTAGCTCCACGATGGCGAACCTATGGCACGCATGCCACAGGTGACACGTGGAGCCATATCAGTGGGCACGCAAGCTCAGCTGATTTTCAGGCCTTCTGGGCCCACTGGAAGTAGGGAAACAGACTGTTTCCTCCCTCTGGAGGGCCTGGGAGGTGAGGAAGGCCCATTTTTTGCTCTCCCCAGGCTTCAGAGCCTTTCTAGGAGCTTGGGGAGGGCGAAAAAGGCCTTCCCCACCCACCCACCCCGTAGGCCCTCCAGAGGCCGGAAACAGCCCATTTGCCAACTTCTGGTGGGACCACAGTGGCATTACTTTTTACAGACATAGTAATATATTATGTGAAACTTCACCAATGAAAACAAAATACCTAGACTTACAAGAATTATCATTCTGTTTATAAAGACCATCATCTCATATTTATTTATAAGCATCTAGAGTTGAAACAGCAAGCAAAAGCCAATGCTTTTCTTCTTTTCCTGATGCAGAAACCAACCCCACCCCCTCAACCACAGCAGGAAGACACAAGAAACCTGTAGAACAAAGTAGAACTACGTCACACCAATGTTGAATTGATCTTATGTGAGCAGTATGCTTAAGACAACCTAAATGATTTCCTCATACAAGATCCTCACTAGGTTTTCTCCCCACCACCCATTGGCTGATGGATTTCACTAGTATGAAAGCCACTTCCTCAACAGGGTGCAACCTTAAGTTATGCCCAATGTGATTTTCACAGCTAAACTTATTGAAATGCTACTCGGTGGGAAAGAAGCTGAATGAGCCATTAAGGCATGCTGTATTGAAAAAGTGAAGTGATACAGAGCTCTAGAAGGCTTAGCTTTAGCAGAATTTTAAAAAACAGGGAAAAGATCAGAAACAAACTCGGGATGATAAAAAGAACAGAGACGGTGAGGCCAGAATTCTATCCACTTACTTAGGAATAGACTCCACTGAACTGTTATATTGTACTTATCACTGAACAGATATGTATTACTATATATTGCCAAACCACTGATCCATCAGATTTTCTCTGCAATGTAAAGTTTTACTGATGATATTGTAACAACATTTTGAGAAGGTCATATCTCTGAAACATTTCCTGCTCTGCCTTTGTTAGAGT